CAGAACAGTTAAGAGCTGCTGGCATGCCAGTTTCCCTTCTGAATGACTTTCAGGTTGAAACATTGAGCTTACTCCCACTACTTAGCAATTTGAATATCTCCAGGGAGCACTAAAATATTTCCTCTTGGAACTCATGTTCAGGAAACAGTGCTGAGTAAACACGGGGTCCAATTTAATCTCTGTATGATTTGCATTTTAATTTTGATTAAGGTTGCATTTTAATTGGGAGCTCGGCTTTGATTATGCTTTCTCCTTAAACTGTTGTTGCTAGGTTGCAATCCTTGGGAGATGAATGAGATAGAAAACGAATGTGAATAAATAAACACCTTCTATAATGGACCCCTCTTACTCTGCCCTCTGCTGCTTGTAGGCATGTGCCTTACCTCGGTGCAATTTCAGGCCGATGGAGGTGTTTAAAGTTGAGAAATCCACAGTGTTGCAGCAGTGAAATGGCTCGTAATATCACAATTGTGGTGTTATGTATCACATCAGATTATGATGTGATACATAATAATTTACAAGCCGAAATATACTAATTTAGCAGCATTAATTTGGGAGAACGTCACCTTTTAATTTTACAAATGTGGAATGGAGTCTAAGAAGTGGTGACCCACTTAATTCATTTTTCATTTAAAATTTCTTTTCCCAAGTGGCTGTTAATCTCTTCCTGGAAAAAATTAGTTCAGTGTTAGATTCATCTTAAAGTGCTGCTATCATGGATTGATACTGAAGCTCAGGTTCAACAATAAAGGCAGAAAATGAGCACCGGGCTCTTGGGAGACCTCCATTATAGGTATCCAAAGTGCATTGGAATAGTTTATGACTCTAGCTGATCCTGGGGTCCCATATTTTCATATCACCACAGACATTATTGCATCATGGTCTATTAGCACCACAATCCCATTCACTGTGAAAACAGAAACAAACTGGCATTGTCCTTCATCCTTTTGTTTACTTACTTAGGCAATCCCTCTTTGTCCGAGTAGGATAATCCTCCAGGGTGGGTCCGTAGGTGACTATGGAGCCCTATTCTTGATCTGCATCGTCTCCCGCAGTGAGGGCATTGGCTTCCAGGTGGAAGGCGGTCCCAGTCAGGGTTGGCTTGATGCGCCTTCCTCTTGGCACGTTTCTCTCTTTGCCCCCCCCCATTCATGTCTCTTCAAATTCTGCAGCACTGCTGGTCACAGCTGACCTCCAGCTGGAGTGCTCACAGGCCAGGGCTTCCCAGTTCTCAGTGTCTATACCAGAGTTTTTAAGGTTGCCTTTGAGCCCATCTTTAAATCTATTCCTTTTGCATAGTCATCATAATAGCACTCTATTGTGATTGCCTTATTTACCATGTCAGCTCATTGACCATTCCTCGCAACCCATGCCTTGCCCTTTCTAGTGTTGTTGTTCATTCGTTCAGTCGTCTCCGACTCTTCGTGACCTCATGGACCAGCCCACGCCAGAGCTCCCTGTCGGCCGTCACCACCCCCAGCTCCTTCAAGGTCAGTCCAGTCACTTCAAGGATGCCATCCATCCATCTTGCCCTTAGTCGGCCCCTCTTCCTTTTACCTTCCACTTTCCCCAGCATAATTGTCTTCTCTAGGCTTTGCTGTCTCCTCATGATGTGGCCAAAGTACTTCAACTTTGTCTCTAGTATCCTTCCCTCCAATGAGCAGTCGGGCTTTATTTCCTGGTATGGACTGGTTGGATCTTCTCGCAGTCCAAGGCACTCTCAGAACTTTCCTCCAACACCACAGTTCAAAAGCATCTATTTTCCTTCGCTCAGCCTTCCCTATGGTCCAGCTCTCACATCCATAGGTGACTATGGGGAATACCATTGCTTTAACTATGCAGATCTTTGTTGCCAGTGTGATGTCTCTACTCTTCACTATTTTATTGAGATTGGTCATTGCTCTCCTCCCAAGAAGTAAGTGTCTGATTTCCTGGCTACAGTCTGCATCTGCAGTAATCTTTGCACCTAGAAGTACAAAGTCTGTCACGGCCTCCACATTGACAGACTTTGTATTGACAGACTTTGCCTTTTCTAGTACATGCAGATTTTTAACCAGAATAATAGCATAATGCTCATCATTGTGAGAATTTGCCATTTCATCTTTTGGTTCGTTTTCCAATTTGCAGTTGTCCAGTACAGTAGAGTCTCGCTTATCCAACATAAGCAGGCCGACAGAATGTTGCATAAGCGAAAATGTTGGATAATAAGGAGGGATTAAGGAAAAGCCTATTAAATGTTAAATTACATTATGATTGTACAAATTAAGCATCAAAACATCATGTTTTACAACAAATGGACAGAAAAAGCAGTTCAGTGGAAGATAACATTATGTAGTAATTACTGTATTTACAAATTTAGCACCAAATCATTGTAGTGTATTGAAATAGCAGTGGATCTTGGCAGGAGGCAGACTGCGCTGGATAATACAGAACATTGATGAGTGAAAGTTGGATAAGCGAGACTCTACTGTGCTACTTTTTTGGTTTCCTATTCATGTGTTCATGTCTTGCTCCCTCTCATCATAATAAATATGGATGCATTGTTGTCTCCAGTGGATGACAACAAAGAATGAACCAGGGTGTGCTGAATGGTGTACGGGATTGTTTTTAGCAGGGTTTCTTTTAATAATTGTAATATTTAATTCTGCAGGGTGTTTCAAAATGATGGACCCAATTTCAAAGCAGTATATTTCATGATAGCAACATGTGACAATTACATAAAAAGTTACAATTGGTTTAATGAGTTATCAAGTTTTATTCATGACTTTGCTGGTATTGCTGGGAAATATTCTGCTGTATGCTGATCATTTAGTTAGTCTAATAAACAACATTTTCACAGTAGCTGACATGACCATCTTGTGTGTGCTGTCAGGGGCATCTAGTGGGAATCATTTGTATCTCTATGACCCACACTTCTAAGTGGCAAGAGTTTAATTCATGAGCAGTTTGTAGTTGCAGAGAAACAGTGATTTCCAATCGGCTCCATCTTTTTGAAACACCTTGTGTTATAATATTTTATTTTGTAGGTTTTTGAACTATATAGCTTTTAAAATTGTGGACTGCTTTGGGTCCAAGTCCTTGGAGAAAAGTTGGATATGAATAGTAGGAAGAAAAGTAACCATAATAATAACAATGACAATGACAATAATAATAATTGCAAATCCCAGCTTAATATAAAAGCTATCAGGAGGAGGCATAGTTATCAGTACTAAACCTGATTTTCGGGTGCTGGGTCCACAACAGCAGAACTTTGAGGATTCCAACTGCTGTGGTGGTCAATTTGAGTCTAGTACACCACATCACAATTAAAGGCGTGTGACCACATTCAAAAGGCAATCCTTGTTAACAAATCAGTAATGTTGGAATATATGTGAATATAGCTGAAAACATGTAGCAGTAACTTTTCCAAAAATATTTCTGCAATATGTCCCATATAAAGAGAATATGTATGCAACAAAAAATAAAGCAGAATATGGCCAGGAAAAAAACCAGTGAATTGTGTAGTTAAATTAAACTATTATTATTTTTAAAATGTGGTTGGGCAGTGAATGGCAATGTGGCTGGAGTACTTCACTGCTCTCCAGAAGTTGAATAATGTCAGTTTGGGAACAACTGAGAAAGCTTACACCCACAGCATGCCCACACCACATGGATTCATCCAATATCACTCCAGTTGTTGTGGAGTCCAAGAAGGATTAAATCCCCAGGATCCAGAGAATAGCTTGGTCATTTTCCACAACTGCAGTTCTGCTGAATATTCTCCCTTTCTCCCCCCTAACACTCCAAGCCTGGCCATGGATAATTGAGGCCAGCTCTCTATTCCAAAGCTTTCCAAACTGTGTGCCGCGACATGTTGGTGTGTCACACAAATGTAACGAGAAATGACAAAAATCTTAGAAATGTATGCTATTTTCTTACAAATCATATATTTTTAAAATTATAAACGAAAGGTATCCATAAGATATGTTGTATCCTGATAGGTTTCATTATTACAAGGTATGTATTACAAAATATGTTTTTTGATTTAACCCAGTGCTTCCCAACCTTTTGTTTGTTTGCTTTTTAACCAGGGACCACTTTGACCATGGACTACTTTCCAACATTAGTACCGAAAGGATTACAGATCAGTTTTTGGTCAACTTTAGATTTCGTTTGGTAATTTGGGATGCTGATTCAGAAAATTGCATTGGATAGACCACAGCTCTAGTTTCTGATAAAAAACATATGCCATTCAGTAGTCACCATCTTCTCGCCCACAAAAAACCATATGCAATAGGCGAAAGATTTATACGATCTAAAGAGAAACCAGAGTTCATTTGTTTTGTACACTATAAAACAATAAAAAATTTAAAAAGTAATAAAATCCCATATTTAATAAGCCTCGACACTATAAAAGGGTTTTGCGAGACCAGTCACTCTCGTTGCAACAATGTAGTAACAATGAGGGTGTGGACCATATTTTAGTTCTTGTGGACTACTGGTATTCCACGGACCACAGATTGGGAACCACTTGTTTAAGCATTGGATTGCTAGTAAAACTGAATTACTGTGTTATAAAAGAATGCATGTCTAAAAAGTGTGTCACGAACATGAAATGTTTGGAAATCTCTGCTACAGACCATTGTATTTGATAGATATGAGTGTAAATTTCCAAATAGCCTGGGCTGTTCAAAGCCAGCTCCAGCTCTTTGAAACTACATTCTCTTCTACAGGTGTCATTTGGGGGATTTTTAGGAGTCTGAGGAGATCCAGGGGAAGAAAATTGCCTCCAAATCTGTCAAAGTTGCCCATCTCTTGTATAAAGGGACTATTGTAAACCTTTTTTACCCTCTGCCCTGTTGCAAAATGGTAGAGTTTATAATAGATCGAACTGATGTGTTGTTTGGTACAATCAGTGTTTTTCAGCTCCTTCCTTTCTTTTGTTTTTTTTTAAACAAAATGGACTGTCTACAAATATACTACAGCTTTCAAAGTTGATCTCTTGTTCTTCTCTTTTTCAGATCATTCTTGTAAGTTCTTCCCATAATGACCTGGACCAGAGTCTTTTCATTAGCACAGACGAAGGAGCTACCTTTCAAAAGCAGCCCATTAGTTTCTTTGTGGAAACATTGATTTTTCACCCAAAGCAAGAAGACAAAGTGCTTGCCTACACAAAGGAGGGACAGGTAAAAAAAACCTAAAAAGGGCTTTGCTTTTGATACTTCTAAACTGTTGCACTGAAATGTATTATGGGCCATCTAAAGGAATAGTGTTGAGTATTAGGGACATTAATTAGCAATGGGAAAATATAAGCCATTTCTTGAAATCATCTGATTATATTTGTGTGGATGCCTCAGACCGTTATATTCAAAAGGACTTGTATTTAAGGTGATGTTTTCATTTATTTCGAGTCAAAAACTTTGTATAAAATAGTTTATATAAAACTGATAAAGTAGTTTGTCTAAAAATGATAAAAATAAAGGGATTACAAGCTGCTAGATAGTTTTCGACCAAAAACAGGTAACTGCGACTGCATTGTCTATAGCTTTAAACAATTCTTCCTCTGTGCATGAGGCAGGGCATTGTGGACAAGCTGAGTTGTTTGTTCTGCTCCGTAGTAGGTCAGTGGTTCACAACCTGTGAGTCCCCAGGTGTTTTGGCCTACAACTCCCAGAAATCCCAGCTGGTTTACCAGCTGTTAGGATTTCTGGGAGCTGAAGGCCAAAACACCTGGGGACCCACAGGTTGTGAACCACTGTTCTAGGTAGTGCCATTTAGCCAGGTGGTCTTTTGATCTGCTATCTCCGCTTCTGAGTCTGTTCAGGGACTTGCAAGTTGCCCATTCTTGGTTTGCTCCTGAAGGAAGACCCTCGTGGGGGGCCATCCAGTTGGAATTGCCTGATTTTTCTGACCATAGGGATACTCTTGCTGTTGCTGAAGGAACATTTAGAGGAGTGGTGCTTCTCATGAAACTGTCTCAGTGTGCCTTAGCTTTAAAAAAGTACTTTTAAGGTGACATTGTTTTGCTTCTTTAAAACTCTGCCATGACCCAATGGCTGTCATGAGATGAGAAGGTGATGTTAAACTGACATGATAACAATGATGGCCCATTCATATGTACAGGTCATCCAATGATAGTGTATTCACCAAGTGAGGAATATCAATTTGGAATCAATTATTACAATATGATTATTTAAAAGATGTGTGATTCCATCATATGTTTTTGGATTACATCAGGCTAGCCAATGGTGAAGAATGTTAGCAGTTGAAATCCTACAAATACCTGGATGGATTCACTTCACCTATCTCCAGTTTAGATGTACCTGGCTTCTGTTTCCTTTTTAGTCACATTTTTCTGATATTGCAACAGATTTGGTCCATTGATCCTGTTAGTTTTGTGTTCAGTTACTCCCAGCATCAAATACTCATGCCCCTGTTTTTAATGTATTTTGAAAGGAGAATTAAATAAGATCTGTATTAATTGTGGTTTCTTTTTCCTTCATTTTAAGCTCTATGCATCTCTTGACTTGGGGGTACAATGGACTCTCCTGCAGGATTATGTCACAAAAGACCATATCTTTTGGTAAGAGGCTTACTATTGCCCTCTAGAAATACATGAAAGGCTGGATTGGTGGGGGAAAATGTATTAATCACTTTGAAGATTCTCTGAAACAGTTGACATATGGACATAGCTGTACAACACAAATGCAGAAAGCTGGTGTGATGTAGTTGTTTGAATGTTGGATTATGACTTTAGAGACCTGTCTTTGAATTCCCACAGTTATGCAATATTGTAAACCCAGTAGATGAATCAGGGCACAGCACAATCTTTCAGCCACAGAAGGAAGCAAAGGCAAACATGCTTCTAAACAAATTTTGCCAAGCAAAAACTGTAATAAGGTCTTCATAACTTGGAAAGGACTTGAAGGTGTACAATAAGAAACAACAAATACATCTTGGGCAGCGTTTCTCAACTTGGGGGTTGTGAGGGGTTGTCAGAGGGGTCACCAAAGACCATCAGAAAACACAAGATTTTCTGCTGGTGATGGGGGTTCTGTTTGGGAAGTTTGCCCCAATTCTATAATTGGTGGGGTTCAGAATTCTTTTTGACTGTAAGTGAACTACAAATCCCAGCAACTGTAACTCCCAAATGTCAAGGTCTATTTTCCCCCAAAATCCACAAGTGTTCACATTTGGGCATATTGAGTATTTGTGCCAGGTTTGGACCAGATCCATCATTGTTTGAGTCCACAGTGCTCTCTGGCTGTAGGTGAACTACAACTTGAAAACTCAAGGTCAATGCCCACCAAACCCTTCCAGTATGTTCTGTTGGTCATGGGAGTTCTGTGTGCCAAGTTTGGTTCAATTCCATCGTTGGTGGAGTTCAGAATGCTCTTTGATTGTAGGTTAACTATAAATCCCAACAACTACAACTCCCAAATGACAAAACCAATCCCCCCAACCCCACCAATATTCAAATTTGGGCGTATCAGGTATTTGTGCCAAATTTGGTCCAGTGAATGAAAATACATCCTGCATATCAGATATTTACAAATTCATAATAGTAGCAAAATTGCAGTTATGAAGTAGCAATGAAAACAATTTTACGGTTGGGGGTCACCACAACATGAGGAACTGTATTAAAGGGCACGGCATTAGGAAGGTTGTGAAACACTGGCCTGGGGTCTTTAGGCCTTTCTTTAATTTTTATAACAGATGAGAAAATTTAAAAGACAGACTTTCCTAGATTGAGATGTGTTAATGAAAAGCCAGTCCTGCTTGCTCCTTCTTTAATTTGATTTAGTCTTAATGACAGGTTGACTCTCATTCTGTCTTTTCCTATTAGGTAATTTGCTCTAGGTCATGGGTTCAACTTGTTTTGCTAAGAGGGTTTTCTACTATGATTCTACTGTGGCTGTCAACAGGTCATATTCTATCTGTCTCAATGTACCTTGGCCAAAAATAAGGATTTTAAGGTGGCATTGTTTTGTTGCTTTAAAACTCTGCCATGACCCAATGGCTATCATTGTGTAGCATGCGAACATCAAAGCCTCAAAAGCACCAGTATCTAAGTGACTGTTTTGGATGTTTTCATTATGTATGCTATTTAAAAGTTTAAAGTCTCCCTTAAGATCAGGGCTGCCAAATTGAAAACTGGAGAGGGCTCTTGTCCCTTTAAAAGTTGTATAGAAGAAGGAATTTCCCAACTTGCTTGTTACCTGGTTGTGTGACAAGCAACACCCGCTCTTTTACACATTCCCTATTGAAGGAACAGGAACTCTCTCTAGTTTTAAATCTGGCGATCCTATTTGTGACTGAATCCAAGGGTTTGTCAGGAATCTTCACTGCCGATCCCAGGGCCTTAAGTGTCTTTTCTCTGCTGCCTTGGTAAATTGGGCTAAGGCCTTTTGCTGCCTCTTACTTTTTCATTGTAGCCCATATTCAATCATAGACAGCTTTAATAACAGGAACTGCAACCAGTTCATGAGAAATAATGTTTGTAGTAGATGCTGAGTGCGTGGTTGTTTAATATTTGATGTAGATGAAGAATTCACACAATTGCAAGAGCGTTTCCTGTTTACTGCAACAAAAAAGCTGTAGACCTGTGGATCTAAACCAGTGGATCCCAACCTTGTTTTGACCAGGGACCACTTGACCAGGGAACACTCTCCAATAATAATGATATAATGCACTTCAATACACTTTATTTATAACCCGCCACCATCTCCCCAAAGGGGACTCAGGGCGGCTTACATGAGGCCAAGCCCAAAATAATACAACATAATAAACACGCTATAACAAAATACAAAATATAACAAAATATAACAAAATATGAAATAACAAAATCAACTATAAAAAAAACAGCATAGTAAAACCAGACACAGAAGACGGACCAAATGTATTGAGGTAAAATGTTAAAAAGTTAAAACCCTGGGTGAGATAGCGATAAAAGTGCATTTGTAGGAGAGGAGCCCAACTGGGAGAAACCATGGGATTTAGCCATTTTAGGGGCGGGAAGATGCTTCATTCTGAGGGCAGCTGTAGGCTAAGACATTAGTACCAAAAGGGTTACAAATCAGTTTTTGATCAAGTTTATATTCAGTTTGGTTATTTGGGGTGCTGATTCAGAAAATTGAATTGGATAGACCACATCGGCTCTAGTTTCTGATACAGAACACATGCCATCCATTAGTCGACATCTGCTTGCCCAAAGAAAACCATATTTAATAATCTAGAGCTGATGTGATAGTAGTCAGACTCTCCCCTCCTGACATCCCTGTTGTCTTGGCACTATAAGAGGGTTTCACGAGATCAGTTGCTCTCGCTGCCGCATGATTTAGAGGCAACGGTGTAGTAATGGTGAGGCCACAGACCATATTTTCTTGGGGACCACTGGTGGTCCATGAACCACAGGTTGGGAATCACTGATCAGAAATAGTATGATAGCTGGGACCCTACACTTTGCTGCTTGCACAATGGAGGTCTGAATTAGGGGAACATGTGCGCGAGTGAGCGCACTGAGTGAGAGACGCAGCTGCGGCGGAGTCGTTGCAATGGAAGGAAGGATAAAAAGGAGGGGAGAAAGACAACCAATGGAAGGAATGATAAAAGGGAGGGGGGAAATACTGTTACATTACCTCACCCTTATCATGTCCCTCCTGAGTTAAATTACTTCACTGCTATCCTGTCACAGATGCATCTCTCACTCACTCCACTGTCTCGCGCATGTGTTCCCTTCATTAATTCTGACCTGTGTTGCACAACTAGCATAGGGTCCCAGCTATCATACTATTGCCCACTGATCTAAACCCTCTATTGAAATTGAGAAACTCACTCAGTGAACGCAGGGCAGGATTAAATACTCTTTGTTTCATTTCGAGATCGTCTTGTGGTTCCAAAATCCGTTAATGTAGATTGCTGTTGTTCACTTGATGATTTAGTTTTTAAATGTTGTGTTATTGAATAAACAAATGTTGTTATCATATAGGAGAGATTGAAATAGTATGTCCATTAAAGCAACGTGGATAGGAGAAAGAACAGAGGACAGTAGCAAGATGAACCATGAAGCAGTGGACAGAAATATCATCACCAAGTCTGTTTGGTGGGGAAAAAACATAAATAAAACATACTCTGTTGTGAAGATCAAGTTTTTTCTGTCTTTCCAAGTAACTCAAAAGTGCCAAAAGACATTAGCCTTTCATGCTAATTAGAGCAGACTGTTTGTTTGGTACAGTTTTTTAAAAAAAACCCCATAGAAACAGAATGTAGCAACAACATTTTGAGCTCGTTGTTTCATTGTAGTTATGAATAATGCTGTTTTGACTGAATGATTAAACAGTGGTTGTTTCATAAACCAACACTGTGAATTGCAGATCTTGACTCCATTAATGTGTTTGGGTAAGCTTGATTTTAACAGAGCTGTGGTGCAACAAGACAAATGGGGGGAAAAATCTCTAGGGCTTCCTGTGATGTTGGTGAACGCCTTGCGTTGGTGTTTTGAGGATGGGATTTTTGAAATCTCTCTTGATCAGAGACATGAAAGTGAATGTCTTGGGGGGCCCAATTAGAAAGGATTAATGACAGACACAACAGATTCAATTTGGGTAGTAACTTGAGACCTGTTTCATTTGTATCAAATGAATTTGTAAGAGCTGAAATTGTGAAGCTGGGAATCAGATGTGGGCGGCCACATAAATGCTACTAAGACCACTCAGAACTATTTTGAATATGGTGCAGCCCCAGTCGTCTGCTCAAGGTCAATTTCGGAGGTATCTCAATTTACTGTACTAGCAAAACCTGCCATTACTGGGATCCAGGAATGACATGTCAAAATAATATTGTTAAATTTACTTTGACAGATCTGAATGTGTTCTGAATGTTAGGAAAAGAGACTATCTATTAGAGTTGCAAATTCAGTACCTCCGTTTTCCTAAGACTGCAGCTATTCCTTGGAAGAGCTGTAAAATAATAGTACTTTTCTTTATTTATAAATAGCCTTTGAATTTTAAAAAATCCACACTGGGATATAAAAGTAGTAATCTAAATCATAATCATCATAATAACTTAAAAGGGAAAGGTTTCCCCCTGACATTAAGTACAGTCGTAACCGACTCTGGGAGGTGGTGCTCATCTCCATTTCTAAGCCAAAGAGCTGGCATTGTCCATAGACACCTCCAAGGTCATGTGGCCAGCATGACTGCATGGAGCGCTGTTACCTTCCCGCCGGAGCGGTACCTATTGATCTACTCACATTTGCATGTTTTCGAACTGCTAGGTTGGCAGAAGCTGGGGCTGACAGCGGAAGCTCACACCATTCCCCGGATTCAAACCTGTGACCTTTCAGTCAACAAGCTTAGCAGCTCAGTGGTTTAACCCACTGTGCCACCAGGGGCTCCCCATAATAACTTAGAAATATCCAAATACAATAACTTAGAATTAACTTCGAAATATCCAGATACAAATATAATTCCCAAAGTAGTTTAAAACTCTAATTTGAATTAGTTACTTGTATTTGGATAATGACTTAGAAATATCCAAATACAAGTAACTAATTCAAATTAGAGTTTTAAACTGCTTTGGGAATTAGACATACATTCACCAGAAATTCAGCTGAATAATGTTGTCTGGCAGATGCTCCTTACCACTTTGCACCCACAGATCATATCTTTGAATGTGAATGCTATTTAAGATAAGCCAAGCATATTTAGAGCTTTAGGCTGGATCTACACTGCTGTCATTTCCAGCAGTTTATGGTGGTTGATAGTGTAATGCCTAGCAGTTGGTGGTGGTTAGTATGCAGAAAGCTTGCTAGGATTATGACCAGTAGGGTGATGATGCTGCAAAAGGTATAGAAGGGGTTAATCTTCCTCCTAGTTCTAAAAGGCAGAGTAATCTGTATGTAAGAACTTACAAGTGACAGTGATAAGGGCAACTGTGGTCAGATGCATAAAAAGAACCTAGCAGAGATTTCTCTTTCGGAGGCAAGTATCTGTTATATTTGGCTTGCATGCTGGTGGTTTCTCCCCCAGGTGTGTGGATTGTGGTATCCTGTGCTGTCTTATGAACTCTTGGAACCTTGTACCTTGAACCTTGGTGAGAATCCTGCTACTGCTGTATCTTATGTGAAACCTTGGTGTACCTTGAATCCTTGGAGTGATTCTTAACTATGTATTTTGGATCACCCTAGAACTCTGGACTCTGTGGCTTGATCTTTGGAATGACAACTAAGCTTTGGTCTCTTGGATCTTGGACATTAATTGGGGAACTCTTGGCAGTTGACTCCCAGATTGCAACCTTGACTACAGTGTACTCTTTCTCCTGAACTGGTGTTTGTAGTACTCCCCTTGTTATAAGTCTTTGCTTTGTATCTGTGGCTGTGTGCTATCTTTATGCTTTGAACTTGGACCTTGAAAACAGCCAAACAGTAAGTGCTACTTTAAGTCAAGCTTGATGTTTTTGGTTCACCACTGCCTGCATACTGGCAGAGCCCTGGATCCTGACAACTGCCCTTATCCCAGGATCTGATTCTTCTTATCCCAGGTTATCTGGCAGTGTAGACTCATATAATCAAGTTCAAAACAGATAATCTGGGTCAGATCCTGGGATATAAGGCAGTGTAGATTGAGCCATAGAGGAAATTAGCACTTCAGACTTAACTCAATACTCCTTACCTTTAGTTTGCGTTAAAAATAATTTTATGTTGCATTGACATTTTATGTCAATGCATCTAACTCACAAGATTATTCTAAGATTAATGGAGAGCAACCTTATGTGCAGTGCCAAAGGCTCTTTGAGGAAAACTATAATACAAGGAAGATAAATCAAAGATAAACACAGAGGAATGTAATGCTTAAAACTTGGCTTCATTTCATCCCCTCCCACCACAGTCTGTTTTGTTACTATTTGTTTATTTGAGGCACTTCACTTGAAAATAATGAAACAAAAACATAATGTTTAGGTTCTGCAAAGGGAAATGGTGGGGAGAAAAGGGAAAAGAAACTCCTTTTGTAGACCCTCTCAATGATTACAACTGTCCCATGAGAACATTTGGTTTTATTCTTACCAGGGCTATCGATGGAGTTGATGGAGACCCTAACGTGGTTCATATGGAAATCCAGGATCCCACTGGAGGTATGGTTTGGGATGTGGCAACATTTTTATATTTTTTAAAAATACTTTTGGCTATATTTATAGCACACCAGGAAGCTGAATATGTTATAAAATTCTTTCTACAACGCTATCTTGTCTCTGTCCTGTCATTTCTACAGAGGTTGAATGTATTTACCATTGATGGCTTAATCCCTCTTTGATCATTATGGATTTTCACATGAGATAAGTTAAATCCTGGTCTGGCAGGTGTAATAAATACATGTGTCAGTGTTAGTGTGAAGAGCAGAGCTCAGTACAGATATTCCTCAGCCTTCAGAGCATTTTTTGTATTATAATGTAGTTTTAGCTACAGACGAGAAAGTAAGAGGAGGAAGTTGCTTGGAATATATATTTGTAACTATTGCAGTATTTATAATATCATTAAAGCAGTTAAGAAATCTAAGGTATACAGGAAATTTCCATACAAACATGCAACTCATCCCTATCCAATTAAAATTGAGTTCAAGTAAGTGTGCTCACAACATGAGACATCTGACATATTTTCAAAATCTGTGTTAGGAACACTGTCTTATGTGAAAATAAAGCATTAATTAAAATATATACTCTGAGTTAAAGGAAAGCTGTCATGCTCTGTTGAAAAATTCTGTTAATGATGCAATTTTTGTCTGGCATTTTAAATAATTCAGTGGCTTGAAAGCATCCTTGTCAGTTTAGAAAGAGTGATAGAAGCATCTCCTCATGGCTCAAGCACATAATATCAGAAAACAGGAAGCTAAACTAGTGCCTTCATAGACTGAGGATGATGTTATTGCAATGTCACAGACTGTAGTATTTGCCCTATCTGTACATCCACATTTCCTTCTTCCTTCTTCCATTGTTTAGTTCATCTTTAGAGTTTCTACAACAAGCAGACTTGGTTCAACTCATTGGAGGATTTTCTAGGAATATGGTTAAGCTAAGCTTTTTCATAAGGTGATATGGGACAAAAAAAAAACTGGGACATCTTTGCTAAACTCAAGTAATTTGCCCTCTCTCTCTGGATTTGGGCCTCAAAGAGAGAGACCTTTGGTTGTTGTGAGTTTTGCGGGCTGTACAGCCATGTTCCAGGAGCATTCTCTTCTCATGTTTCACCTGCATCTATGGCAGGCATCCTCAGAGGTTGTGAGGTCTGTTGTAAACTAAGCAAATGGGGTTTATATATCTGTGGCATGTCCAGGGTGGGAGAAAGAACTCTTGTCTGTTGGAGGCAAGTGTGAATGTGACAATTGGCCACCTTGATTAGCATTTGATGGCCCAAAGACAAGAGTTCTTTCTCCCACCATGGACATGCCACAGATATATAAACCCAATTTTCCTAGTTTCCAACAGACTTCACAACCTCTGAGGATGCCTGCCATTGATGCAGGTGAAACGTCAGGAGAGAATGCTTCTGGAACATGGCTGTACAGCCTGGAAAATTCACAACAACCCAGTGATTCCAGCCATGAAAGCTTTCAACAATACATTGCACAACATTGTTCCTGAACACAGGGCAATGTGCGTTAAGGTGTCAATTTTACTGTCTAATTTCCTTGCTTTTTGAAGCTTAGACCAATATGAGATAGCCTTAATTCTCATCTTAAAATGGTAATCTGAATATCCCTTGATTGCTGCATTTGAGGGAAGGGGGAACAACATTGCTGTGGACCAGGCATGGGCAAGCTTTGACCCTCCATGTGTTTTGGACTTTAACTCCCACAATTCCCAACAGCTGGTAAGCCGGTAAGTCCAGAACACCAGGGGGGCTAAAGCTTGCCCATGCTTGCTGTAGACAGAAGTATGTTAATAACTTTGAAATGGTTTGAATAGGAAAGCAATAAAATATTGCTTTCCTAAATACATCTGAATTAAAGCACATCATTGGGTTTGGGGTGGGGGGGGGAGGAGAGATGGAAACACATGACACTTCTGCAAACAAAACATGAGTAAGAAGGATAACTTTCAGTTTTTGAGACAAGTGAAACTTGCTATATTTGTGACAATGTTTGTTGGATTAGTTTAAAATCTGGCATGACTATGCAACCCTCTTCAACTAGATTATGAATGGTAAGGTTGAAGTTATTTGCTCAACTGATACCATTTTTATGAGCAGTAGAATTATGAGACTTATGTCCCTTCAAGACGTATGGCAACAACATGTAGCCCTAACTCCCATTGCCGGCTGCTATGCAGACACTTTTCAGTCTAAGGTCTTAGTTCATATCATGATGATACACCTCTAAATATTTGGATGACTGAAACAGAGAAAAAGCTTCTTTTTGTCGATGTTTAGAACAGTTGGCCTAGGCTCCATCTACAACAGGAATGGGCAAACACAGGCCTGAGGGCTGGATGCGGCCCCTTGGGATCTTTGCTCAGCCTCTGCTCTCTCTCACGATCCTATCCTTCCTTCCTTCTCTCTTTCCTTCCTCTTTCCCTCCCTCCCTCTTTCTCCCTCCCTCCCTTCCACCCTTTTGTATTGTTCCCTCTCTCCTTTCCTCTCCCCTTTTCTCGTTCCTTCCTTTCCTTTTGTCTTCCTTCTCTTTCCTCCCTCCCTRCCTTCTTTCTCCTTKCCTCCATTTCCTTCCACCCTTTCATCCTTCCTTCTCTTTTTCCTTTCTCCTTCCCTTCCTTCTTTCCATCCTTCTCTTCTTCCCTTCCTTCCTCCTTCCCTTTCACCCTTTTGTCTTTCTTTCTGCCCCCCCCCCTTCATCTTTCCCTCTTTTCTCCTTACTTACCTCCCTCCCTCCCTTGCCTCCCTCTTTCTCCTTCCGTCAACGGGTGGAATGGGTTAAACCCTTTTGCTGGCAGGACTGAAGACTGACAAGTCGCAGGTTRGAATCTGGGGAGAGTGCGGATGAGCTCCCTCTGTCAACTCCAGCTCCCCATGCAGAGACATYAGAGAAATCTCCCACAATGATGGTGAAACATCAAAACATCCAGGCATCTCCTGGGCAACATCCTTGCAAATGACCAATTCTCTCACACCCAAAGCGACTTGCAGTTTCTCAAGTTGCTCCTGACATGAAAACAAAATCACTGGGCAGCCAGTCCTATCAGGGAGTGCTAGCATGTGGGCCTCCAAGTTAGAAATTTTGCCCAAGCCTGATCTACAGTGACCATATAATGCGGCTTCAAAAAGGTATTGAAGAAAGTGATTCTCTGTGTAGATGATTGCATAGGAAATCTTGGAACCAGTTTGAGGCCCAGATGGTGATTACACAAACCACAGAGCACTGCTGCATACTAACGGCTTTCTTTCACATACTTTTGTGGGTGTTTGTTCTTTTGCTGCCACAGATTGAGCCTAGCTTTGAATTGCTTTAAATGGCCAGTGTAGATGTGGCCCTTGGTAGATGAGGCTGTAGAAAATGAATTACTATGGTTTTGCAGAATAGTCTGAGAAAGGGAGCTGTTCAAATTATAGACCAAGCTACATGTAAACCCACAAGAGCAATCACTAAAGGAATTTAACTTGCTGCTTTTACCACGCTCCTAAAGAAGCTTCCATTTGCATGCAGATGGAAGCCTGCATTTAGTGCCAATTTGAACATACCATGCAACTTAAACAACTGTTTTAGTGTCACATATGGTTTGCTCCTATATTTACCACATTAAAGAAATAGTACTTGTGTGCTTGGATACTAAAAAGGTGAAGAATTACTGCTTTAAGATAAAAGAAACTGCTGCCAAGGAAGATGAATCAGTGACAAGTGTGGGAGGGGGGCAACATAAGTTCCTCTCTCAGAGGATGAGGAACAGACATGAAGACAATCTACTAGCATGCTAAATGCTCATAGTGAGGACCAGAGTTCTTTGCTCAGAATGTTAAATTTGCAAAGTTGTGATCTTGCATACATGATTGAGTATGCATGAAGTCAACATTCACATTTCACCAGCTGCTGAAAGACAGGGTTGTTGGGCAAAACCTTTGTGACATGTTCCTTTTCAGGGGTTTTGCTTGTGGTATGCTTCATGCATGTTCCCATAGGGCAGAGTTTTTATTTCTTTATTTAGAGCATTTATATTCAGCCATCTCACCCTTAAGGAGACTCAGGGCGGATCACAGAACACATACAAAGCAAACATTCAATGCCATTAAACAGACAGGACAGACAACAGATAGAGGCATTTTCCCCAACTTTGGCATCCTTGAGGTTGTGCACAGGGGGGTGCTGTCGCTCCATCCTCTATGATGAAGAGCCTCCTTCCTTTGATTGCCAAATTTTCTGGTATTTTCTTTATGGTGCTGTAAAATACCTCCCTGCTTAAGCAGTGCCTAATTTCGCTACTCATGGCTGTTTTTGAACTGCTTAGGTGGATAGTAAGTTGGTGCTTACTATCCACCTAAGGTCAGGTGCTCACTCTGACCTGGGCTTCGAACTGGCAACCTTTCAATTGGTAAGATCTCTTGCTGCTGGTGATTAACCAGCTGTGCTAAAGCCTGGCCCTTGAATTTGTCAAACTGTGCTCCTCCAGATGTTTTGTACTTCAGCTCCTACAATTCCTAACAGCTGGTAATGTGGCTGGGATTTCTGGGAGCTGAAGTTCAAAATACCTGGAGGAGCACAGTTTGAGAAACACTGCCATAGAGCAAGCACAAGTTGCAGGACGTTTTCTGGAACTCTCTCATAGTGGACATCACGCTATCCCCTTTGCAGTTAAAAATACATTTATTTGTTCAAGCTCTCAGGACAGACAAGTGATATGTATATTTTGTTGCTGGATATTTTATTCTATTCTATTATGTATCTGTGATTTTTTAATTATGGTTTTAATGGTGCTGTAATGTGTTTTACATATGTTGTGGGGTGCCTTTTGTGAAGAAGATTGTGATATAGAAATCATAACTAATTAATTGTTGTAGCTAACTGTTGGAGAAGAATGTTGGTATGTTCCAAACATTATGTCTTATTTTTCCTTGTCCATTTTAGATTTTCGCTACATGGCATGTCAGCTTCAGAACTGCTCTGATAAAACACTGAGATCGCCTTTCTCTGGTAGTATCGACAAGAACTCTTTAACAGTGCAGGACAACTATATATTCCTCCAGGTAATGTCAGTTAATGGAAATAAGTCTTCCTGATTAGTGACTTGTTCTGGATGGCTACTGCTGTAACAAAGAAAGAATACAGAGACATAGTAGGATGTTAGGATGAATTTGAGTCAAGCCAAGCTTGAAGCTGGCTTGACCAACTCAACTGTGGCCTCCCAGTTCAAACAGACGACATTTGTATTTCAGCTCTCCACTTTGGATACTTGCCTGATTCCTTTTCATAGTATCATATAATCATAGAGTTGGAAGAGACCTTGTGTGTCATCCAGTCCAAGCTCCTGCCAAGAAGCAGGAAAATCATATTCAGAACACCCCAACAGATGGCTATCCAGCCTCTGCTTCAAAACTTCCAAAGAAGGAGCCGTCACCACACTCCGGGGCACTGATGAACAGCTCTCGAAGTTAGGAAATTATTCTTCATGTTCAGGTGCAATCTCCTTTCCTCCAGTTTGAAGCCATTGTTCTTCTTCCTAGTCTCCAGGGCAGCAGAAAACAAGCTTGCTCCCTCCTCTCTCTTTCCAACCTGGAAAACAAACTATTGAAAAATATTTAGTGTATTCTTATTGCTCTAGAATAGTCAAAGTATCTTTCCTGTATTTTGGCTTCTATCATTTCAACAGTCTTTTTAGGTAGGTCAGTGTTATAGCTTCTGTACTGAAGGAGTGCAGCTGGGAAAGTAGGGCTCTTCTGAGTTTACTTGGTGAATTTGCCATTTGAAGTCTCAGCTACTGCAAAATAACAACGTTCTAGGCAAAACTGAGAAATTAGAATTGTATATAGAAAATTGCATTTTCTTATTGGCAATCCAAACTATGTGTTTCTTGGTCCATTTCCTTTACCCCCATTACCTAATATCCGCAATGTCTTTTTCATGCTATAATAAATCAAACAATTTGAAATAGAATACAAGATTCTATGCCATTTCTCCATGTGTTTCCTCCAGCTCCAAGTATTGCTTTGATGAAGGAGATGTATCTTGATATCATGTGGATGCCCCCCTTCTTTGACAGCTCCTCCCCTTTGTCATCTTTTGGCACAATGATTTCTGGTGGTCGAAGTGGAATGAATGATGTGTCCAGGACAACAGTTTCAGTTTCCTACCTGGTTGCCATGATCTTATAATCTCAAGATGTTTAGCCCCTTGACATATTGTCATGGATCTACCTATGAACTAGGTTGGGGTAGGAAGGATAGCAAATAATAGTCTTCTGTCATCTGGTCATGCAGATTCTTGGACTTTCCTTTCCAGAGATTTCTCAGAGCTTTTCAGGAGAACACAAAGTAAAGGGAAGCAGATGCAATAGTGATTAATTGTGAAGCATCTGTGTGTAGCTGCATATATATTATATTCAAAACATACAGTGGAAATGATTAATCTGAGCTTTTTACTGAATACAATGTCAGCAAAAAGGAGAAAAATGGAAATCTAAAGTATTTGTTCATTTAGTCAGTAGGATAAAAACCTGCATCCTTGAACATACCATCGATCATTAAAAAACAAATCACATTTATAACTGACACTTTCCTCAAATATTACTGAACCTTCACAGAAATTTCTGCATTTATTTGCATTTTTTAAAAAGAAACATTCAGCAGTGTCTGTTGGGTCCTTTGGCATTAATGAGTTCATGATCTTTATACTCGAAAGTCTTCCAAGTTGACTCCTGCTTTTAATGTGCAGAACAAAAAAGAAAAGCCAAAGGGAAGTAGAAGATTATGTTATGTCACTTGACAACCATTGTAAAAAAAATTCTTTGAAAATCTCTGATCATGTACCACTAAGTTGCTTTTAGTTAACTGTTTTCTGATTTATTTGAATAACTTTTGATTTGCTTTGAAAACCATGACAATGTCATAGTAATGAAGCATCTAATTTATAACTTATTTTTCTCTTTGGTGGCCTTGCCCCCACTTTGTAGAATGAGTAATTTAGAAAGTTGGGTGAACAACTCACATTCAGAATGATGAAATTCACCCAGGTCCTACACCCCTGTCTTTGGGTGCATTTTGAAAGGCCTGAAATGGCAATGCTGATCTGCATCAGCATCGCTGGACACTATGCTCAACACTTTTCGAGCTGGCTCAGGAGTTGGGTTGTAGCTGCACTGTATGGTCCTCAGCTGGCCTGGTGTTTGGATGACCAAGTGGTGCCAGAACTGGTTTGGTGCCACTCGACTACAGCCCCTACATTGCCCCTGTCCATCTGACATTTACAGTGTCTACAACAGTGGTTCTCAACCTGTGGGTCTCCAGGTGATTTGGCCTGCAACTCCCAGAAATCCCAGCCAGTTTATCAGCTGTTAGGATTTTGGGGAGTTGAAGGTCAAAAATCTGGGGACCCACAGGTTCAGAACCACTGCTCTATAAGGCACAAAAAATGGAGCTGGACACTGGACTCTTCTCTGATCACATCATCGCTCTGGATATCATAACTCTAAATAGTGAGCATGGTCCACGGCAAGTTTTGGTTCAGGTAGGCACTGCAAACAGCACATTGATAGGTCATACCCTGACCCCCATAGGAAGCAGCACAACGGATTACACAATTGTGTTTTGAGAAGCTCTGGAGTATCCCGGGACTCCTATTAACACAGTTCAAAGCTGCATTACCCTACAACAATCTGTGGGCCATACAGCCACTGTGGCGTGGACACTCTGCCCCCCCCCCCACTTTGTGGTAAAAGCGCCAGCAAAGATGTGCCCCTCGTGGCTGCTTTTCCTTTTTTCTCTGAAAGGAAGCAATCAGGGAAGACAGAGAAGAGAGAATTGGTTAAAACAGTGGTGAATATTGTATGGGTCACAAATAATGGGGCACTGAAGAAATAATGAGACAACCCCAAAAGTGCCCTCCCCCAGTTAGGAAAGAAAAGGTGGAATGAAACAGCAAACATCTTGGAGAACAATGTAGAAATGCCACCATTTCTACCACCAATGTAGAAATGCCACCAAAGTAGCTGCTCAAATATCCCCTTTTATTTTAGTAGAACTACTATAGTGGATACAGTAATATTTTTATGCCCTCACTTCTTTCTGATGAAAAATTGCATTCTGACTTTGTCCTCCCAACTGTTTTTTGCTTTCACAGACATCATCAGCAAATCAAACAAAATATTATGTGTCGTACCTTCGGAATGAGTTTGTACAGATGAAATTGCCAAAATATGTGTTAGCTAAGGTAATCATCTTCAAAATGAATTATTCTTTTGCTTCCTTCTTTCCTGACCCAGAGCCAATTTGCTCAATGTTGTCTCTAAGTATTTGCAAGAATCATTCATTCTTCAAAAAGTTATATAACATCTTTGTGATGTAGAAAAAAGTCAATGTCTGAGACTATTGAATAAAATATTACTTTACTATTGAAAAGACCAATGTGTTTTGACCTAGATTTATATTTATGGCCTTCCTCAGAATCTCTTATAAGAAATGGGGACAATTACAGCGGTAATTACGACTACAGTTTGGAAAAATTAAATATATGTACATTTATCTTGCAACAAATGACATATAAAATTTTCTGAATCTTATCAAATGAATATTAAGCAAAATATATTTGTACAGTTACAAAAGAATACTTACAACTTTAACATCGACCTCTAGGGACTCTTAAAAAATGTCACCAATGCTTACGCTGGCAATTTATAATTTGGAAAGTAGGAGGTAGAACATTATGTTATTGTATTTTTTTTCTATGGACATCCTTATAAGGTCAAATTAGGCTATTTTCAGTAATAAAATCATGCTTTTCAATATCCTGAGACTTTTTCTTATTTTATATCGCATCTGTTGAATATTTCTGTAACGTCTCTTACTATCTTAAAGTCAAGAAGTCCTTATTCCTAGCCTGCAACCTAACATTGGCATGCATTGCCATTCATTCCCCTCAACTAAGCCCAAAGAAAAGTTAGAGGCCTGCAACAGTTGGCTAGAGAATAGACTGTTGTACTGCTACTGTTTTCAGAAATATTGGGTATAAGCAGTACTATAAATTCCATGCATCTCCGATTATTATACGATGCTATCTAGGAATGAACCATGCAAACCACACCAGTCCCCTTACATATCATGTGGGTATTTGCACAAGTCAACTCAATCCCTCTTTCCAAAAACTATTACTTCGGTCCTCCCTTTACCCATTTACATCTCTTAGATTTGGCACCTCCATTTTAATCATATGGAATCCACTGGCTCTTATCCATCTTGTACATATAATCAGGGAGCACAATGTGACCTTTGATCATCAGCTTTTCTCCTCCAGATAATACCAGCCAGATTGGTTTGTGGATGGGAATTGTAATAGGTTCACTCAGACATCTTGCAAGCATGAGTAGGTTATAAATGTGTGCTGTCTGATGTACATTGCATTTTGTATTGATCTTTCTCACTTCAGGATTTACAGATTATCAGCACTGATGAGAGCCAAGTGTTTGTTGCTATCCAGGAGTGGTATCAGACTGACACGTACAACCTCTACCAGTCTGACCCACAGGGTATTTCCTATTCCATCGTATTAGAGAATGTCAGGAGCACCAAGCAACCTGAAGAGAATGTGCTAATAGATATCCTGGAGGTAAAATGCCTGTTCTATATTGGATCCTAGTTTTATTGATCCTTGTTTTTTTGCTGACTCGTATTACCATTTTTCAGCTGTCTGCTGATGTTTTGAGTTTGAAACATTTCTCTTTTGGTATAATGGATTTGTTGCAAATGATTCTTATTACTGCAAACCTTTCAAAACATTAATTTATCCAAGTTCCTTTGAATTTTTAAGCATATGACCAAATAGCTTCAAATACCTAAAAGACAAATGCCATCTAAAGATGTTTTGATTATTGGAAAAATCTTACCAGAGCATTTTGTTGTTTTATCTTCAGAAAAGGAATACAAAGTGTTCCCAAAAGGCTTAAGATGTTTGCTGATCACTTAAATATCTGGAATTTGCTACATATAGCCCAAAATAACCCCAAGAATGGGTTAGCCATATGAAGCAAGCGCCTCTGTAAATCCTACTAGTGTTTTCAAGTTTACACATCTCGGGTCCAGCCTACCTTCATCCAGTTTCAAGTTTATTCAATGCTTAGACCATAGGTCTTTCACATATAAGGCAAACAAATAAATACACGAAAGCCAGATTATTAGATTATGAAACACAATATAAAATACACCACTAAAATCCCATATAAACCATAAAATGTACTAGCAATAGGATTTTACAAGCAAATCAAATAATGCTGCAAGTTGCCCACATTGGAATAAATAAGGGCAAATGGAATGTATTTAGAGCAATCAGAACTTACTTGAGCCAGGTATTACACATACACTCACATAGCATTGAAGTGGAAGGACTGCTGAATGGTTTCTATCTATCTATATGTATTGTATGTCAAAAACAGCATTGAATGTTTGCCGTGTATGTGTGCATTATGATCTGCCCTGACTCCCTTTTGGGGTGAGAAGGGTGGAATATAAATACTGTAAATAAATTATGCTTACAGTGGAGTGGCTTCCCAGAATGTCAGCTTACGGCAGGATTCTCATATTGTTTGAGCCTATCTTCATCACCACATCTCCCCCTATAAACAGGTGCAAGCTCTAAGATCTGCTGGGGAGGCCCATCTCTCAGTCTTGCCTCAGTCTTTAATGCACTTGGTGGGAACAAGGGAGAGGGCCTTCTTGGTGGTGGACCTCCAGCTCTAGAATGCCTTCCCCAGTGAACTTAGACAAGTCCCTACACTACAACACTTTAGGAAAGAGTTACAAACTTGCTTTTTCCAGCAGGCATTTCATAATGTTTAGATAGTAACCAGCACTGATTGCCAGTCTCTTAGCACTTTATATTTACATTCTGTGCATTCAGCTGGGCTGCTATATTGATTACATGGCTCTTTTAATCGATTCTATTTTTAATAGAGGTTGTCTTTTTCCAATTTATATACCTGGTTTATGTACTGTATTATTGTTTTCATGTTGATGTATTTAATTTTATGTATTATATATGTTATGTATGGCATTTTTGTGTGCTCTTTCGTAAGCCACCCCGAATCCCTATGGGAGATGGTGGTGGGGTATAAATAAAGTATTGTTGTTGCTATTATTATTACCCTTGGGAATTATTTGTTCTCTGTGCACACTGCTGTTTTTACATGCCCAAAATGAACACTTGAGTAAAACATAGTAACTTAAACTTCAGGTGATTTCCTCTAGCTCAGGGGTCCTCAAACTATGGTCCGCGGGCCTCATGCAGTTCACCAAGGGCATTTATCCGGCCCACTGAGAAGGAGGCCTCCTTCTCAGTGGAATCAGTCTTGGCTCTGCTAACGCAGTGCTCCTTTTGTTCTTTCTGTCTCCCTCTCACATGCTCTCTCTCTCTTTCTCCCCTTTTCAGACTCTTTTCCCCCTCCCTTTTTCTTTCTCCCTCCTCCTTTCTCCCTTTCTCTCTTTCTCCCTCTTTTTTCTCTACCTTTCTCTTCTTTTTTTTTTATACCTCCTCCTCCTCCTCTTCCTTCTTCCTTGGAGGTGGTGGTGGGTCCGGAGCACTGCAGCTGCTGCCTGGAAGAGCGGAGTGCAGTGTGCATAGGAATTTGATCATAGTTATTTAAAAAAAACTATAGTCCGGCCCTCCAGCGGTCTAAGGGACAGTGAACTGGCCCCCTGTTTAAAAAGTTTGAGGACCCCTTCTCTAGCTAATGTTCATTATCAGCAAAATAAAGTCTGAAACTGTTGAGCAGATGGCATTATCCTTTTGTCCATCTTTTTCCCAGTAGTAAAGGAAACACAGATATTTGTATGTTGGAAACAAGTATAAATGTTGCTTAGTAATTGTTTTACATTTTGCATTTAATTTATAGGTGAGAGGTGTCAAAGGAGTCTTTCTGGCCAATCAAAAGATAGATGGGAAAGTCACAACTCTAATCAGTTTCAACAAAGGCCGCAATTGGGGCTATCTTACACCTCCAGCTGTTGATATGAATGGTAAACCAACTGACTGCAAATTGGTAAGTTCCTCCTGCCTCCAAACAGAGCAAACCAAAATTGGAGGTTTGTTTTTGATATGGTATAATATCACAGTCATTCAGATCCCCCCCTCCATTTACTCAGGAATTTGATAACATCTAAGCATGTACCATAATCATATAGTTCTGTTTCTTAGTACTACTTCAAATCCCAGGTAAAGATTCTTGTGTTTCCCTGTGAAAGAAATTCCTGCATGTATAAACTCAGTGAAAAGGCTACCCATAGACATGCATGAGTTCTCAACACAAGGATTTTCCTGGGAGACCATTCAGGCCTGAAGCCTGAGTCCAGCCGCTCTGTATCATGTGATTCTGCTGTACATTCATTAACTGGAATTTGTGAATTTTTGGTTCTTAAACTGCACTGAATAGCAAACATTGATCTGTGAAGCACTTGTGTTGCATTTACACTAGATTCAAGGTATCTTTATGATCTATATTGTTGAAGATTGTGGAAAGGTCTATTAGGACCTTCCCTAAAGGACCTTTGTGGTATGCCATACAATGAGTATTCCTCGGTCTCTAGGATCATGAACGAACTATGGTATTAATTTGTAAATGAGCAAAGGAATAAGTAGTCTAATTGTGATCTGGACAACAATCTAATACAGCGGTTCCCAACCTTTAGTCCTCTGGGTGTTTTGAACTTCAGCTCCCACAAGTCCTAACAACTGGTAAGTTGGCTGGGATTTCTGGAAGTTGAAGTCCAAAACAACCGGAGAACCAAAGGTTGGAAACACTGATCTAGGACAAGGAGCATATTCACTTTATAACATTTCCTATTGAGGAGGACTAAGGAAAAAAGAGAGGAGATGGGGAACTCTCAACAGGTATCAAGAAACAACTTTGGTGGAAAAAATAATGCTTCAAATAGTTGTTTTGAGGCTGTCCAAAGAGTAAAGTCCGCAGGAGAGTCCGTTTCTCTACTCCACCACTTTTTCAGGTGCACCAGAGGTGAAACATAGAGAAGGTGCTCCAGAAAAAGGCTTCGGCTGGCCCTACATTTTGGAACTCCCTCCCTAAGGAGGCTGTAATACTTTTCTCTTTGAACTCCCTCCATAGACCCAGAAAGACTTCTTATTCAAATGTTGAACTGTAAGAAAATAGTTGTAAGTGCTGGGTTGTTTTAAATTGCATTAACTTGTAAAATCTATTTCAAGATGTACATTTTTAGTATGGTTAATCATTTAATTTTAATTCAGTATTGGTTTTTTGAATTGTTATAATTGTAATCTTTTAAATGTGTAAGCCACCTTGAGGAAAACATGGGCTGTAAATAATTTATGAATTAAAATCTATAAGCTCAGGCGTAACTGGAATTCTGAATCCTTATTCACAGTTTAACAGGGAATCCAGACATAGAGTGAGTTTTTAATTAACAGGTTTTACAATTTTTGTAAGGAAAATAGATTCTGAGCATTATTTGTGTAATCAAGAAATTGGGACATTCTTTTTCTCCAATTTCAGTGATGCTTAAGAATATATACTTCCTTTTGCAGTTTCTATGCTTTGATTTTGATTTTTTTTTCATGTCAGGAGCAACTTGAGAAACTGCTAGTCAAACTTCTGGTGTGAGAGAATTGGCCGTCTGCAAGGACGTTGCCCAGGGGATGCCTGGATGTTTTGTCATCCTGTGGGAGGCTTCTCTCATGTCCCCGCATGGGAAGCTGGAATTGATAAACGGGAACTCACGCTGCTCCTTCCGGATTTGAACCGGCACAAGGGTTTAACCTATTACGCCACCGGGCACTCCATGCTTTGTAATATCAGTTCTTAAAAATAAATGGCATATAATGGATCCATAATAGAGGAAGAATCAATACAAATCCATACTATGTTAGACAAAATGCAGTAAAATATACTCAACAACACATATTTATTTAAATGACTTGAGAATCAAATATAGTTCTATGAGGTTACATTAACCATGATTTCTGAAAAAGAATAATCAAATACATATAATTAAGGGTTTTTAAAAAATACAACAGTATTTGCCGCTGAACAAAATGAACTGTTGTTGTTGGCTAATATAGCCATTGTGGTGCTTTCTGTTGGTTCATATAGAATAAAATTGATTTTATTTCTATTTATTTATTTTTTGCCATAATATTCATTACAAGCCTGTCCTCTTCCCCTTCCTTCCTCTTTTCCTTCCTTCCTTAAAATATTCTGAACAATTTGACTTTGTATTTGAGGAAACAGAGCAGACCTTGAACAATGAAACAGGAATTCAGCTTCAGCATCTCTACTTTGAGGAATGCTGCTGGCATTTCTACTGAAGCAGTGTCAGAAACATTATAATAATATTGCTTTAATCTTCATTACAATACCAACTTGGCCACGTAGTCTTATAATACTTTAATATGAAACCTCTCCTCTTTAAACACTGCATGTAAATCCCACTAATGTCTCTATCATAAGATAATTATTTTCTGGCCTGCCATTGCATCCCCTGCAATGCGAGAATTATAATCTTGAAGTACCCTGAAAGTTTTTTAATGGGAGAATAACAAGAAAATGTATGAGAAGTGCTATACACAATTGTTTAGGATCATTCTTTCTTTCTCTCCTTACTTTATGATTTATTTTTATTTATTTTTCTTTTGTAATATGTGTCATTGTTTAATGCATTTGTGTCTTTATCATTACTTCGTTAATTATTATATCAATTCCTTTATTCTTATCCATTATAATGTTGTGGTTCTTCAGTTGCTTTTTTGTCATCTGGTATCCATGTTTTCTCCTGCACTCCTTTTTTTCTGAATATTAGTCTGTTAATCTGTTGTAATGTATTATAGGATAATAGTGAAGCTGTGGACATCATTGGTTCAAGTCATGAGATACCATGGAACACATTAAAATTGGAGCTTAAATCGCCAAGCATTAGTCTAGCTTCTTGAATCCATGTGCAGGCTAGTTTGGTTGAGAAACAGACTACTTAAATGTCAGATATAGGAGGCACTCAGGGCCTTTCCACACTGACCCAAATACTAGTGAATTTGGCATTTCCACCCACATTTGCTATTCAGATTGGTAAGCCAAAGCCCTGCTTTTGGGGCAGGGGCAGCCTGATACCTACCCATACCAATTTGTAATTGGCATGGGGGGGGGGGGTTGCTATGTTCACTAGTACCCTCCTTCCCCTTTTGCCCTAAAACATACAGTAAATTCTTCAGGACCAAGGCACAAGGTTTCTGTCTTATCAAAGTGATGCTACGAGCTTTAGAGGGGAAATTGCACCCTCCTTCTCCAAATCTCATGGCACATAATTTTGAAACTTCAAGAGCTCCACAGCAGCCTCCTACTTCCGTCCTGGGGCATTTACTGTAAGTTTTAGAGAGAGATGAGGGCAGGAAAGGGAGAGTATACCTGAGTCAGCAGAGATTGGATCCTGAGAGGCAGAACAAGCTCAGTCCTACTAAAATGCCGTAGCAAAGGATATGGAAGATGCAACTCATGCAAAAAAAAGGAGGGGGGGGGGGTTTAGAAAATTGCTATTGCTTGGAATGGAAGAAAGAAGTGGTAAAGAGAGTCTGAAGTAAGGCACAACTTCACAAGGTACAGGAAGATCTTACGAAAAGGAGGAAGGAAACACATTTAAACAGAGTACCTTCACAACATCTTCATGTTGAGAAGTCATTTGAAGTTAAACAGTGGCACCCCCTGGATCTAATACTGTCTGTAGTCATTTCCACTAGCCTGCCAAGCATCCCTATTCCCACATCTAGAGAAAGGAATAGGTGCTGTATACCATTGACTTTTCCAGTTGGGAAGGTTGGAACAGTATGGAGAAATTCCACTGTTATGAATAGTCAGTATTAACAGCAGGAGTTTCTGCCCCCAAGTCTCTTGTTTTTGCAGTCTGAGAGTACAACATGGAGCATGGAGGGGGGAATCATCACTCATATCAAGGATCAGAGATCATAGTGGGAATAACCTGTCTCCACTCTATTTCCTCTCCCGGAGAAGAATGCATGGGGCAGGTGTGGTCAGCTAAGTGCAATGTCATCTTTCCCACATTTTAAATATCCTTAGCATCTTTTTGTATTATATATAAAGGAACATTCTACTGAGTGTTACTTTTTCTGGCATTGCAACACAATGATTAGGGAATTTTCCTGAGGAATTCCCCTCACATGCCTTCCTATGAATGTACTGTGTAAGGAATGAGGATCATCCTCGAACCTGGGCCTGGAAACCCTAAGAGATACATCACAAAGAGACAGAATTTCACAAAACTACATCAAATTGAAGTTGGTAGAGTTTCTGCAGGTGGGCTGTTTTAGTGATGACTGAGAAATTGGAAATTTGGATGGTACTCATTGTCCCTGGCATTCACTTCTCTTCCCTCCTATCCTAACATGGTGAGAGTGGCAAAGTAGCTGTGTCCAGTGAGACTTAGGATGGATCTACACTGCCATTTAAGGCAATTTGAACTGCATTACATGGTTGCCGTAGATCAGTGATTCCCAAAGTGGGAGTTACCCACTTTGATTTCCAGGGGGTAGGCCAAATAAGTTTGGGAACCACTGCCAGTTCAAATTGCATTATATTGCAGTATGGATCCAGCTACAGCTCCATTCAGAGCTGAAGGTGAATTGAAGACCAACCCAGGCCCAACATCCATCTTTCAAGGATAAACTTTCCATAAATGGGCAGGAACTTGGGACTTAAACGTCTACCATGGTATCTGTTATGTAATTACACTTCACCACTGATATTTGACATTTTCCTGTTTTATATGGTAATCAAGTGGGATATGTATAGTCTTGATCTGAGTTTACTTGGACCTCACTGCTATGAGGGGGATTTTATCCTTCAAATGATTCTCATCATTGTGTGAAAACTTAAGATTTAAAATCAGTCCCGGAAGAGTCGCGGTCACGTTATTTCAGTGAGGTATGAAGTGTATATCCTAGCATAAAACATTTTGTGTTCCATAAATACTTAGACCATAATTTCCAGGTTAGTGTAGCAGTAGACAAAGGGAGTCTATCCCATAATTTTATTTGTGAAACTTTCCATCACAGGATTTTTACCTCATGTTTCCTCCTAATGCTGAGAATATTGTTGTGATGGTTAAGTCTTAGTCCTGCATTCTCCCATTCCACCATAAGAGCTCAGCCATATGGAGAGCTCTGGTGCTGGAATATATTGATTGTGCTTGAGGGAGTCAAAGCCAGCTACTCCAAGAGGGCAAAATGAATCAATCAGCTTCCAGTCTTATCTGGATAAAACTTTTCTTTGAGGGGCCATTCCCTGAGTGTTAAAAAGATGGCTTCAATAGATCCCCAAATAATTTTACTGGGGTGAAGGTCCACCCCATTGACCATTTTACTAATGCATTTAGGACAGTTTTCTGATCAGATTCTGTCTCAGAGGAGGCCAAACTATGATCTTGTTCAAACTACACAATTACAGCACTACAACTCCACATTAACTGCTACAGAATCCTGTGATTTTAAGTTTGGTCAGAGGCACTAGAAGAGCTCTCTGGCTTAGAATTCAAAAGGTCCTCTCTAAACTATAGATCCCAGAAGTCTTCAGGATGGAACCATGACAGTTAAAATGGAATAGTCACAGTGACAAAGGCCCCTTCTACATTGCCATATAATCCAGATTATCAAAGCAGATAATCCACATTATCAACTTTGAACTGGATTATATGTCTAGACTGCCATATAATCCAGTTCAAAGCAGATATCTGGATTTTATGTAGCAGTGTAGAAGGGACCAAAGAGGCCTAAGAGAAGGAGAGGAGATCAATGACTATGTCTCCTCTCGGTTTTTTAAAACTTTAAAGCAGTTCTGGGCTGAGTCATTCCTTCACCCTTTTAAGTTTGCATCACTGCTCAAAGAAGGGAAGTCAACACAGACCTCTCTCTCACACGCACAATGCTGAGCAACTGGCACTGGAGACATATTTTAATTTGGAAAGGTGGAAAAGAGAAGTAGAGTTAAAAATTCACTCTCCCTGCCCAACTCTAGCCCATTTCAGACCCTATCCCTTGTTTATTTTTAATTTTTAAAACAATCTTAGGAAATACGAGAGACTGCTTTTCTTCGCATGCCATTTACTGCTATGAATCCAGAATGCACTGCTCAAACCTGAAAGCACAAGATATGTAAACTCTACATTCTAGGAAGTGGAAACTAACATTCAAGTCAATCCACCACCATCATGCCTAAATGTGAGGCAAACTAACCCTATATGGGTGCATCTAGAACAGTGGTTCCCAACCTGTGGTCCGTGTACCATCAGTGGTCCCCAAGAACTAAAATATGGTCCGCAGCCTCACTGTTACTACATTGTTGCCACAAGAGCAACTGGTCTCATGAAACCCTCTTATAGTGCCAAGGCAACGGGGATGTTGGGAGGGAAGAAGCTGACTACCCACCAAAGGTGTGACAACAAGCCTCCTGACTACTGCTTCTCTTCCACCTCCCTCCTCCTGAGCAGAGCTGTTCCATGTGGCGCCCAGAAGCAGAGGTGCCTTGGTGTCTTCATTTTTAAGCCTGTTCCTGGGGTTATTTGGGGTGCTGATTCAGAAGATTTAACTGCATAGACCACATCTTGATTATTAAATATAGTTTTTTGTGGATGAGCAGATGGCAACTACTGGATGTCATATGTTTTGTATCAGAAACTAAAGCTGATGTGGTCTATCCAATGCAGTTTTCTGCGTCAGCACCCCAAATAACCAAACTGAAACTAAAGTTGACCAAAAACTGATTTGCAACCCTTTTGGTACTAATGTTGGAGAGTGCTCCCTGGTCAAGTGGTTCCTGGTCAAAAAAAAGTTTGGAAACCACTGATCTAGAATGACCATCTGAATTAAAATATTTGTGAAATCTCAGTAGTAAGCTCAGAAGTGCCATCTAGTGACTGCTGAGTGGCTGGGAAGGTTTTGTTTTGGGGCACTTGACAGCTTAGGCCAACCCTTAAAAAAACCCATTCTATTTAAAAATAAGAGCTTTTTCAGTCAGATCTCTAACAATCCCAACTAGAATTAAAGGCTTCCATAGCAGTTTCTGAAAACGAAAATCCAAAATACTTGAATGCAGAGCGAATAGTAGTACAAACTGGGTCGTAATTTAATATGGCTTACATTATTTTCCCCATAGCAGTAACGACATTGAAAAACAGCCCTATAAAACTTGTTTTCTTCTTCTTTGGATGTGATTGTTTTGGCCAGTTTGAGGTGTCTAGTCAATCACTATTTGACCTTGTGACATAGCAATTTTTTATTCCTGATATTATTTCACAGTGACAAAGTAAAGGATGGGTGACTTTTCAATAAGACTGTCCAAATGCAATGGTGTTAGTGGTAAAATGTTCAAGTGGAGTGTTTGCTACACAGTGCTGCTGCTGTCGTTACTACACATTATGTTATCACAAAAGCAGCAGCCGCATCCTTTCATGGGGTAGTTACTTTTGCCTCTCCCCAGAGATCTGTCATTACATATCATTCACCCATAGTGTGGCTGTTTCAAAGATTAGAGGCATTCCTGCCATTCTGCTAAAAACAAAGATTTTTCTTTGTTATCTTTATAGCCCGATTGCCACCTTCACCTCCATCTCCGCTGGCCAGACAATCCATATGTGTCAGGAATGGTTCATACCAAGGATACAGCACCGGGACTCATAATGGGGGCAGGTAAAAAAAGACAGTGCATTTTTGTTTTTGGTGTTCATTGATCAAAAAGTTACATGATACTCCTACATTAATTTAATATATTTTCCATTGCATACTATCTGTCTGTATGAACTAGTTGATTCACCTCCATCATGTCTAATTATTTCCATTGTGACTAGGCATAAAACAAGGGGTGGAAATAAGATGTTAGAACTGCTAAGTGACAAGGTTCTTCCCTTCCTCCCTACACTGTATTTTGCCTCTCAATGTTGACATTGATGTGCCAGGTGTCATCTTCTAGTTACAAGGAAACTTCTCCATTTTTCTTCTTAGCAGAGAAGAGAAATGTCAGGTCCGCAGCAAGCATCAGGCAGGAGGAAAGTGTGCACCACTGTCATTCTGAATTGTAATAGTCCTCTCCATGATCTACTTACATCTACTTTGGATCTCCAGGTGTTTTGGACTTCAAATCCCACAATTCCTAACAGCTGGTAAGATGGCTGCGATTTCTTGGAATTGAAGTCCCAAACACCCAGACACCCAACAATTGGGAACCACTGTAGCTGACCATAGGATATTATTTATTTATTTATTTTTATTTACTATGCTTCTATACCGCCATTCTCAGCCCGAGGGTGACGTAGGCCTGCTCATATAGCCAGGTTTTAACTTTTTTGTGAAACATTAAGAGGGTGGGGGCCAATCTAATGTTCCTAGGGAGGGCATTCCACAACCGAGGGGCCACCGCTGAGAAGGCCCTATCTCTCGTCCCCGCCAGTCGAGCCTGTGAAGATGGCAGGGCCAAGAGCAGGGCCTCCCCAGAAGATCTTAAATTCCTAGAGGGTTCGTAAGGAGAGATACGTTCAGACAGGTAAGCAGGGCCGGAACCATTTAGGGCTTTATAGGCTAAAGCCAGCACTTTGAATTGTGCTCGGTAGCAGATTGGCAGCCAGTGGAAGGCCTAGAGCAATGGTTATTGGAAGGCCTAGAGCAATGGTTCTCAACCTGTGGGTTCCCATATGTTTTGGCTTTCAACTCCCAGAAATCCTAACAGATGGTAAGCTTGCTGGCCAAAACACCTGGTGACCCACAAGTTGAGAAGCACTGGCCTAGAGATTCCTAAAGAGACATTGCTCTCCCTACATTTCCTTTAAAACCCTCCTGCTTAGATACATCCTACCTCTGTTCACGCCCAGTGTTTATTTTAAAATTTTAAACTATTACATCTGGCCTGGCCATAGGTTTTTATATTCTTTAAATTTTTGTGTGTTATTGCCTATATGTGAGTTATATTAATTGTATTGTTTTATTTGCTTATTGCTTTGTTGTTTTACTGATGTGTTGTTTGGGCTTGGCCTCACCTAAGCCGCCCGAGTCCCCTTGGGAAGATGATGGCGGGGTGAAAATAAAGATTATTATTATTATTATTATTATTATTATTATTATTCTCTAAGAATCTCCTCTAGCATGACTCTGTGGTCATCTTCCAGAGAACGTTGTACTGGAAGCCATAGACATCCTTTTCTGTGAATGACCCACAAACATCAAACCTGCAAATGTGGAGAGACAACTACATTTATTCTGACTTATATTGATGCAGAATGATCTGGCCCATTATTTAGCACCTTTCCAGACAGTCCCAAAACATGGGACCTTTAGCGATCTAGCCATCCCTCCCAGGAAAGTCCGAGGTTTGGGTTAGGAGTGGGGATTAGAACCCATGAGGAAGCAGGTTGTTTTAACTCGCCTCCTCTCAGCTTTTAACTTAGTGTAGAAGGGCGCTTAGAAGAGCAAGAACTATTGCAGATCTGATACATTTCTTGTGTGGTTGGCTGGAAATGACTTGAGAGAGGCTACTGGCACACCAACAGGACTATTGGAGCATCTGAAATACTACCATGTGACCACCTTCATCTGTCATGGAAAAGAATGCCATAGATAGCAACCCAAAGAGCCATAATAAGCTTGAAAAACCCATACAGGCCTCAGGTGAAAAAGATTGTATGTAGGGCAGGCGGCAAGAGTGCTTTGTGCTGCTTTGGCTTTAGCAGCCCTGGTAACTGGTTGCACTGAAGCAGCTGGAGTAGTGTCATAGCTCTCTAAAAATATAAACCTTTCTACTTCATTTCAGAAATAATTGATTTCAGGAAAAAAGATACAGACAGGAAAATGATTCAGATAGAGAGAGTACATGAATGAGAGAGCTTTTTTGTGTCAGGAGTGACTTGAGAAACTGCAAGTTGCTTCTGGTGTGAGAGAATTGGCCGTCTGCAGGGACGTTGCCCAGGGGATGCCCGGATGTTTTTTGATTCTTTACCACCTTTGTGGGAGGCTTCTCTCATGTCCCTGCATAGAGAACTGGAGTTGATAGAAGGAGCTCATCTGCGGTATCCCCGGATTCAAACCTTGGTGATATGTTTCTCACTTTTTTTGGAAACAAGATCCTGACAACATTTTGTCCATCATGCATTGTTTTTAGGTGATTCCTCCTTGTACTCTGGCATTCTTCTGAAGTATTTTGGACCTGAATGGCAAAGTAGTTCTTAACAGATGAATTTGCTTGTCACATGAGGTGTGATGATTAGTATGGGTGTCCCACTCTGTTATCACTTCCCTTCTTTCAGGATGTGTCTGCCTTATTTCCCTTTCTCAACCCTAATATCTCCTTTTAATTTTTCTCTCTGTAAAGCCTGAATGCCAAAGTGGTATGCTCCAAAAATGTGTGTTTGTTTATTTATTTACCATATTTATATACCGTCTTTCTCAGCCTGAAGGTGACTCAAGGCGGGTTACAATCGGCACAATTTGATGCCCCCAACAACATAAAATACAATTTTAAAACATTTAGCAATTAATATAAAAACCATACAAAACCAATAAAAACATAAATGTTGTAGTTCTGGAAACAGTACAATGCAAAATTACCGAAGTGAAGAGAGGAGAGCATTATTGAAAGCTGTCCTTCACTTGACTGAAGGAGAAAGGTTCTTGATAGCTGGTTAATCTCCAGTTGCAATAGATCACTGCTGACCGGAAGGTGACAGGTTCATAGCCTGAGTCGCATTGAGCACTCGACTGTTAAGCCTAGCTTACTGCCCACCTAAGCAGTTCGAAAACATCTGAGCTGTGAGTAGAGAAATTAGGAGCTGCTTAAAGTGGGGAGGTACTTTACGACACCATAAAAATGCCGGAGATGAAAGAGCAAGGTGGAATTATGATCAAATGACTTGGTATCATAGTGGATGAAGCTACAGCTCTCCCCTGCGGCTGGAATTGAGCATAACCTCCAGGCACCAAAGTGGAAATGCCAAAAATACCTCCGTCTGTCTGTCTGTCTGTCTGCCTAGAAAACGGCATTGAATGTTTGCCGTATATGTATGCATTGTGATTCACACTGAGTCCCCTTCGGGGTGAGAAGTGCAGAATATAAATACTGTAAATAAATAAATAAATCATACCCAGAAAAGCGTCAAGAGGGACCCAGTTGTAATTGAATGAAGTTGTGTGTATATGTGTGAAGGAGAGAGTTCCAAATATAGCAGTAGGCTTTTTTTTCCAATTTACCACTTTAGCAGTAAGGTTTTAATAAGATTTTTTTAAAGTTGAATTTGCATTACAGGGAGTGTTGGACTGGGATAGCAGAAGGAGGAATCTGTTGCTGCCAACAAAGATTTATTTTAAGAACATGACCAAAAATGTTTTCCTTTTTCAGTAAATTATGACAAGTCGCTGAAAATTCTTGTTATTTTCGTTTCTGTTGGCTCATGATAACTTCCAGTACAAGGGAATCCTGGCCAACTGTGACAAACAAATGTGTAACTAAACAAACTAGATTCTTTCTTCTCCTTGTTGGGAGAGACAGCCCAATTCCTGCTGGCTATGCAAACAGCGATAAACAAACCACCAATGGTATGTTTGGTCCCTTTTGTTGCAAGCAGAAAGAATCAGGAGTCTGCATGCTTGCTCACCCTTAATAAGCCAAATTTCCAATGGAATCCCATCCAAACACCACTTTTGTTGGGACACTCTTCTCATTTTCTTTCATTTTTCCTCGGTTAACTATTTGCTCTCAGTGGCACCATATAACTAATATGATTGTCTATAGCCTGGATCACCACTGGAATAAGACCCTTATTTAGTAAAGCCGTCTTGCACAATATCACGATCCAAGTGTGCAGCTTTGCAAATAGTGATTCACTTTTCAGAAATGTGAATTGATGGAAGACTGCAAATGTGGGGAAAGCAACAAGGTTGATTGGGCGTGATAGTCTCACTTTCCTTCACCTGAGTTTAGATACATGGAGAAAAAGAAATTCCTGAAAATCTCTATGATGGCCACATCACTTCAAATGTTAGGTGGGGGTAATTATATTTTTAATGTTCTTAAATGTTAAAAAAAAATCACCCAAATTAGTTTATTGTCACACTGACAATTTATGACGTTACAAAAAAGGATACCTCCACACCAGTCTCGGCTCACGTAGTCCAAAATGTGGCATTATTAAGTATCTACCCAGAAATGGTATACAAAATGCACTCCTTGGATATTACTCTCATCCTTGGAGTCCCCGGTGGCGCAATGGGTTAAACCCTTGTGCTGACAGGACTGCTGACAGAAAGGTGGGCGGTCCAAATCCAGGGAGCGGGGTGAGCTCTCATCTGTCAGCTCCAGCTTCTCCTGCAGGGACATCAGAGAAGCCTTCCACAGGATGGTAAAACATCCTGGCGTCCCCTGGGCAACATCCTTGCAGACGGCCAATTCTCTCACATCAGAAGCGACTTGCAGTTTCTCAAGTTACTCCTGACACACACACAATAAAACTCCCATTCTTCAAATCCCAGAGAAACCAGGAGTAGGCCTAATTCATGCATTTCATATTTCTTTCTTGTATTGTGTGTCAGCTCAATGCACCTTCATTCATATTATGCAAATATTAACCATTAACACCTTGCGTGTATGTGTAACATGTCATTTGGCATTTTACTCCACATCTTGAACTTGCTTTCAATGACCTTGTCCTTTTTCCAGTCTTAGGAAATATAGAGTGTGAGAGTAAGTAGAAGCATTGACTCAGTGCAACAGTTAGTATAAAATCACTGGGAGGTACACAGTGAAGACGCAAGGCAAGAGAGCGGCACTAAATACCCAACATTTATTTTGAAATTCATAATAAAGTATACAGTCATGAGTAAGAGAGACTGTTATTTTCCTTTGTAGAACACATTTTTATTTCTGTACAATTGTTTGGGGAGCAAATAGTAATTTGTATTATTGATGTGATACAAGATATCTCACATGACTGGAAGGCACATTTCATGAGCTGCTTTGGCTCCTCTAGAGAGAAACAAAGGAAGAAGCAAAGATAGATGGAATCACAATTCCTGTAATTCTATCTGGGTGCAGATAGAAGACAAGGACAATAACTTTTCTGAAAGCTCTTGGCATATGTTGTCGAAAAATAATTTAAAATCCGTCTTTGTCTAATAATAAGTCAACTTGGGAGATATGCCATAACACGGAAGATAGAGCAACAAAAATATTTCTTTTTAATTATATTTCAGTAAAGTGGGTTTTGACAAATGCAGAAGAAAGTTACGGAATAAACTCTATGGAAGGATAAGTTAAGGGAGTCATAATTCCATTTTAAAACTTACATTGGAGCCTACATCATGACTCCATACTCATGGGGCCATTACCTGCAGTTTCACCTATTGATGTCTGACAAAATAGGGAATTTCCTAGGTCCTCCAGGCAATTCAGTGGGATGATTCCCCCAGAAGTTACCATAGATTCACCCTGGAGGACCCAGCAAATATTGAGCAAACTTCTCTAGGAATTTTCTAGGTCCTCCTGGGTGACTCTCTGGTAACTTCTAGCAGAAGTCATTAATATCAACAGGCTTCACTGTAATTCATGGTTTCCTGTTTTCAGGGCAAATTCAGGAATGTATCCCATGTAGATGTGAGGATTTTGCTATACATTATTACAGCAGTATTGTTCCACTTTAACTGCTGTGTTTGCATCCTGTGAAATTCTGGGGTTTGTAGTTTAGTAAGATCTAATCCAGTGGTTCTCAACCTTCTTATTGTCACGATCCCTTAATACAGTTTGTGGTGACCCCAAACCATAAAATTATTGTTAATGCTACTTCATAACTGCAACTTTGCTACTGTTACGATGTAAATATCTGATATGCAGGATGCATTTTTCTTCACTGGACCAAATTTGACACAAATACTCGATATACCCAAAAGTGAATACTAGTGGGGTTGGGGGGAGTTGATTTTGTCATTTGGGAGTTGTAGTTTCTAGGATTTATAGTTCACCTACAATCAAAGAGCATTCTGAACTCCACCAACAATGGAATTGAACCAAACTTGTTACACAGAACTTCCATAACCAACAGAAAATACTGGAAGGGTTCATGGGCATTGACCTTAAGTTTTGGAGTTGTAGTTCACCTACACTGTGGACTCAAACAATGATGGATCTGGACCAAACTTGGCATGAATACTCAATATTCCCAAATGTGAACACTGGGAAACTTTGGGGAAAATAGACATTGACATTTGGGAATTGTAATTGCTGGGATTTATAGTTCACCTACTACCAAAGAGCATTCTGAATCCCGCCAATGATAGAATTGGGCCAAACTTCTCATACAGAACCCCAATGACCAACAGAAAATACTGTGTTTTCTAATGGTCTTTGGCGACCCCCATGAGACTACCTCGTGACCCTCCCAGGGGTCCCAACCCCCCAGGTTGAGAAACACTAACCTAATCTTTGTGGATGAGAATTTTAAATGCCTGTCCTTAAACTGCAAATCCCAGCATTCCATGTGATTTATTTATTTATTTATCGTGTCAGGAGCGAACCAAACAGCTGTATTGCATTAAAACACACACACACAGTTTGCAAACTTAGCATTCTATTACATGTCCTTTGACAGGAAATCATGAATTCCATGTGATGCCATGGCATTTTAAAGTGGAACAATAGTGCTATAAAATATTGTGTGGTAGAGCCAAAAGTCACAGTGAATCATTGTTGTAGTGGTGGTAGTGGTGGTGGTAATAGCAGTAGGCCAAACTGCTTGTACGGCGATGTTTGATTGTTATGTAATAACAGTGAAGTAATATTATAACAGAATTTACCAAATTGTTGATACAGCAAATATAAGATGAGATCAGAAACACAGATAGAGAATGGGCCGCATTGGATACAAGCTCTTAGAGAAAGCAGGAAGTTAGAAACAGAAGGTAATCAAGAAGTACAGGAGGGTCACTGTTCCTTTTGAAAGAGTCCAGGTTTCACAGATTGGTTCTGGTGTGAAACACATCCCTCTTGAGCTGGACATGAATCAGAATAATCAAAGAACCTTTCCAGGAATATTGGGTTAATCAAAGTTAATTTATAAAAACATGCTCCATTGGAGGCAATCCAGGAGGGACATCAGAATGGAAGGAAACCTGTATTATCACAGACCAATAGAGTTAATTAATTTTATCCCTCTTGTCAGAAGGATTTTCCATTCATAGAATAGAACTGAATGGGGTCCAGTCAGCTCTAATTTCACTCATTCCAAAACAAATACGGGAAGTAAGAATTGTATTTTTTCAAAATGACTCCTTTTTGTTCCTCGTCCATGCAGGGTCTCACCTGTCTCTGACAGTGGCAAAGACAGTTAAATCAATTTTGGTGGCCCACCTTAGTGCCTGCAAATTCCATGCTAAAATGCCTGTGGTTGCAGCAAATTTGGGGTGAATGTACATGCCAGTTCCCAGGGTGCTTTAAGTGTATACTGCTACTGGTGAACTTTCCTTGAAAAGAACGACTCAGTAGTTAATAATAATAATAATAATAATAATAACAACAACAACAACAACAACAATAATAATAATAATAATAATTTTTATTTATAACCTGCCCTCTCTCCCTGAAGGGACTTAGGGCAGTTTATATTACAGTATATTAAAATATTGCAGATTTTGTCCTTAGCATCTCTAGCTACAAATTGGCAACTGAGGAGCAAAACATTCATTCACATGATACTCCAGAGAGCTCCTGTGAATCAGTCGGTGATACAGGGTAGAATATTTATTGGACTTGGTAGAACCAGAGCTGGGCTCGTGTGCAATCTAGGTGTGGTACAGTTTGGAACCTCACATTATGAGGTGTTTTTATATTAAAGATATAAATCAGGGGTCCTCAAACATTTTAAACAGAGGGCCAGGTCACAGTCCCTCAAACTGTTGGAGGGCCGGATTATAATTTGAAAACAGCATCAATGAATTCCTATGCACACTGCACATATCTTTTTTGTAGTGCAAAAAAACACTTAAAAACAATGATGAGATAGTGTTGTCGAAGGCTTTCATGGTCGGAATCACTGGGTTGTTGTAGGTTTTTTCGGGCTATATGCCCATGTTCTAGAGGCATTCTCTCCTAGAATCTAGAACCTAGAAGCCAAGGGAAATCCCAATAAAACAACAATGCATTCTGGAATAATGTATTAAAATACTATCTATATGGTGTATTTAATTTAGAGCTCTATAATGCAATACAATGTCATTTTAATTTGATGTTAAAAGGGTGAGCTGATTTAGGATAATAACAATTCCATAATAATATTTAAACTTTCCCTAAACATTGGAATGAGGGAGAGAATGCCTCTAGAACATGGCCATATAGCCCGAAAAAACCTACAACAACCCAATGATGAGATAGGATTGTTGTTGTTGTTGTGTGCTTTCAAGTCGTTTCAGACTTAGGTTGACCTTGAGCGAGGGCCAGGTAAATGACCTTGGAGGGCCGCATCCAGCCCCCAGGCCATAGTTTGAGGACCCCTGAAATAAATCTTCAACTATTTTATGTAAGGACAAATAATGGCAGCACTTTAGTCTTTTCCCTGTGTACATGTGTCCCAAAGGAACATATTAAAGGTTTCCCCTTGACATTAAGTCTAGTCAAGTCCGACTCCAGGGGGTGGTGCCTATTTCCATTTCTAAGCCAAGAGCCAGCATTGTCCGTAGACGCCTCCAAGGTTATGTGGTTGGTATGACTGCATGGAGCACCATTACCTTCCCATTGGACTGATACCTATTGATCTACTCACATTTGCATGTTTTCAAACTGCTAGGTTGGCAGAAGCTGGGGCTAACAACAAGAACTCACCCCGTCCCTCGGATTCACACTGCTGACCTTCTGGTCAGCAAGTGATGCAGCTTAGCAATTTAAACCGCAGCACCACTGTGGCCCCTTAAATCAACATAATCTATATCAAAAAGACATTTTTAAGTGCAGGAAACCTATTTTCTATGCAAAAACTATTCCCCCCGCCCCCCAAATGTTCCTCTTCAATGCTTTGAGACATTTGAATAGTGGGAGAAAATTGTGCAAGATTCTCGGTTGTCTTTTATTCTTCTTGCCAGAGTTTCCTCATACTGGGAATGAATAATAACGAATATCCGTACCCTACAGACAAAAACAAAGTAGAAATACTGTGCTGCTATTTCAATTGTTGGTAATGGTATGGGACATTTTAAAACAACTCAATATAATACCTTGAGTCTTTAGCAGGGCTTCTAATTTTGAATGTGAAGCAGCTTCCTTTCTTCTTACCATTAATTTGCTACCTCAATGCAGTGTAGTAAATAAACTGCTAACTTTTACTGGAGATTTGTGAGAAGTCTCTTAAAAATTAAGAAACACATTCCTGTGTTAAAGAGAACACTCACTTTGAGAAGGAGAAATAGTTGGTTTGGTTCAATTTAGATTCCTCACATGTGATGCTTTGGGACTGTGTGAACCATTATTATTGCGGCTGGTGACTTGGAGCGCATGAGCAGCCCTTTGCATGCTGAACGGTTGAACCTATGCTTACCCATCATTGTGGGGGGTACAGACCTGATTTCAAATATGTGGTATGTCAGCCTAGTAACCCCCACTTATTTTATCTCTCTTCTCAGGAAATCTGGGTGCCCAGCTTGTTGAATATAAAGAAGAAATGTATATAACATCAGACTGTGGCAAAACCTGGAGGCAGGTAAGGACAATTGCTTCGTGTTACTACATGAATAATATGTAGTATTATTCAAATAATATGCAGATATTACTTTTATTAACACTGGACTCTCACAACTCCATAGACAAGAGACTCGATCCAGCTAAGGAAATATATATGGAGAAATTGAAATAGGTGCTGTATGTATAAGGAGGCATATATATGCCTAAGTTTGGCTTTCCAAGGTGCTTTAGCTCAGTTATAGTTTCAACACAAGTTTTCCACTTCTGTCTTACTTTACTATAAAAAGATTTATAGTAATCCAATAGCACCTTTGAAGACACTTCCACACAGCTATATAACTCAGAATGTCCACAATATCTGCTTTGAACTGGATTGTATGAGTCCACACTGCCAGATAATCCAGTGCTTTACATTCACACCTAGCTCCAACAGACAAGAGTCCTTTGTTCCACCCTGGTCATTCCACAGATATATAAACCCATTTTCCTAGTTCCAACAGACCTCACTACCTCTGAGGATGCTTGCCATTGATTCAGGCGAAACGTCAGGAGAAAGTGCCTCTAGAACAGAACATGGCCATATAGCCCGAAAAAACCTACAACAACCCAATCCAGTGCATTGTGGATTTAATACAACTGTGTGGAAGGGGCCTGAGATGATCTTGTTTGTTCTAGTATGGGTATTTGTGACTTATCAGTTGACATCTTTGGATATATCTTTGGATATATATTTAGTGTATTTTAAAGTTGATGTGTAATTTGTGATATATGATATTTTAATGAATGTATATGTTTTTATTGCTGTAAACCGGGCTGAGTCGCTCAACGAGGTTGAGAAGCTCGGTATACAAAACTGTGAAATAAATAAATAAATAAATAAATAAATATACAGACACTTCTGTGCATCTGAAGAAGAGGATATCTATTCACCCAAGGTCGTGCTAAAATAAACTGGTTAGTTTCAAAGGTGTTACTGGATTTCTTTATGCTGAAACAGACTCGGGGCCCTTCCAGACTGGCCCTATATCCCAGGATCAGATCCCAGGTTTTCTACTTTGAACTGGATTATATGAGTCCGCACTGCCAGATAATCTGGGATAAACAGAAAACCTGGGATCCAAACCTGTCTGGAAGGGCCCTCATTCCAATGTTAAGGGGGAGTTTAAATATTATCATGGAATTGTTATTATCCTAAATCAGCTCATCCTTTTAACATCAAATTAAAATGACATTTTATTGCATTATGGAGCTCTAAATTAAATACACCATATAGATAGTATTTTCATGCATTATTCTAGAATGCATTGTTATTTTATTGGGATTTCTCTTGGCTTCTAGGTTTTTGAAGAGGAGCATCACATCTTGTATCTGGATCATGGTGGAGTGATTGTGGCCATCAAAGACACCTCTATCCCACTTAAAATACTCAAGTAATTTTACAGTGAACTTTCATATACTTACCATATTTTCAAGACTTCAGAATGTTCTGTTGATTGACATAAGCTTTCCCCTCTGGGAAAGTCATCTTAATGATCTAGTATTTCGATAGATGTTACTATTCTAACATTTGTTCAGCAATCATAACTTATTTGTGATGATGCGCAATACAGATTTCTGTGAATGATATGAAAATGAGAATGGATAATTTGAAATGATATAAAAATCTGAATGCACAAAAGAATTATGAGGGCAACACTTTCCTTAAGCTTAGTTTCTTTAAGTTTGAGACTTACTGACACATAGAGTCAGTAAGTTTAAACCCGTGGTTCCCAACCTTTTTTTGATCCAGGACCACTTGACCAAGGGACCACTCTCTAACATCAGAAAATTGCATTGGATAGACCACATCTGCTCTAGTCTCTGATACAGAACATTTGCCATCCAGTAGTCGCCATCTGCTCAACCACAGAATAATAATCTAGAGCTGATGTGGTCTATCCAGTACAATTTTCTGAACTAGCATCCCAAATAATCCCAGGAACATGCCTAAAAACGAAGACACCAAGGCGCCCCCACTTCTGGACTCATGGAACGGCTCTGCTTAGGGCGAGGGAGGAGGAGAAGCAGCAATCAGGAGGCTTGTTGTCGCACCTTTCGTGGGTAGTCAGCCTCTCCCCTCCCAACATCCCTGTTGCCTCAGCACTATAAGAGGGTTTTGCGAGGCCAGTTGGTCTCGTCGCAACGGTCTAGTAACGATAGGGCTGTGGACCATATTTTAGTTCTTGGGGACCACTGGTGGTACACTGACCACAGGTTGGGAATCACTGCTTTAAACCCACCGAATCTCTATTTCCAAGTCATGAGCATTACTCATTTGATCCTTGCCCTTTTTGCTGGGTTTCCAGCTACTTTCCCCCCTCTCTTCCTCTTTTTTATGCTATAAGGGGTTAACACAGCCACATCTTTGAAGTATGTATTATCCTACAACAGATATTTACTAATAAATGTCAAGGGACATTATCATTCACTCAGTGCACGTTTCTGGTACATTGAGCAGGATTTACTATTGTGTCGTGTATAAGGAGCTCCATGGCATTTCAAAACTGAAGCCTGAGGAGATTATACTGCTATCTTGGAGGAAAATAATAGTGGCAAGAAAACAGCTGTGTAGGATAACAACTTTAATAAACATCCACGCATTTGAATGGGAACAGCTTGTTGTCTTCTTCCCACACAACGATTAGAGGGCGGATTTGGAAGATTTGCAGATTAGCACCTTCATTCTTTGTAATTTTGATCACTAATTAAATTATTACTACTGATGATGTTGATAATAATCATTAGTTAAGCCTACTCTATATAAATCAGATCTGTAATAAATAGAAAACAATATTACTTTCTTTACAGATTCAGTGTGGATGAAGGCCAAACATGGAACACTCATAATTTCACGAGCACTTCGGTTTTTGTGGATGGCCTACTCAGTGAACCTGGGGATGAGACTTTAGTCATGACGTAAGGAACATTTAATGCACTAGCAACCAAACTCTGTCGGGGAAATGGAAACAGTTATATCTTTAACAAGAACGTAGAAACTGCAAGCTTGGAGCTGATGCTAAAATATATTGTCGAAGGCTTTCATGGCTGGAATCACTGCGTTGTTGTAGATTTTTCGGGTTGTATGGTCATGTTCTAGAAGCATTCTCTCCTGACGTTTCACCTGCATCTATGGCAGGAATCCTCAGAGGTTGTGAGACCTCCCAACCTCTGAGGATGCCTGCCATAGATGCAGGCAAAACATCAGAAAAAAATGCTTCCAGAACTTGGTCATACAGCCCGAAAAACCTACAACAACTCAGATGCTAAAATAGCCATTGTTGACAATTATTTGGGTGATTGAATAATTAATTGGGCGACAGATGTGGTGTGGATAAGTCTTCAGTACCCAATGGAGAAAGCAGCCTTCTCTCTCCCTCCCTCCCTCCCTCCCTCCCTCTCTCTCTCTCTCTCTCTCTCTCTCTCTCTCTCTCTCTGTGTATGTGTATTAACTTGGTTTCAGGATCCCATGTGGATACCAAAACCCATGGATGCTCAAGTCCTATTACATATAATAGTATAGTATACTATATACACACACACACACACACACATATATATATATATGGAAGTTACATCCATCACACTAAAACCAGCAATGTGTGCAACAGACTGTGATTCATGAGAAGTCTGAAGCTCCCTTGGAAGGCTGAAGGGGAAAATAAAGCTGCTGGTCGTTGGTCACTCTCAAAGGCCTTTTCTTTAAGGCCAAGGGAAGGGAGGAACACTGAGCTCTTAATATATGAGTGTTGGCACAAGATGGCAGGAATATTACTGTGTTTGAATTTTATACTCAAACAAATAATTCTTGGTGTTCTGCTCTTGTATTTTCTTCCTTGGTTTTTAACTGGAACCTCATTCAGAGGCTTTTGATATTTCTCTTTAGAGTCTTTGGACACATAAGTTACCGCTCTGACTGGGAGCTTGTGAAAGTCGATTTCCGTCCATTTTTCCCACGTGAATGTACTGATGAAGACTATGAACCATGGGAGCTGACAAATCTACAGGTAAAGTTTCCTAATGTATTTGGTTTGGTGGTGTTGATTTTGGTGGACCATATCATTTTAGCATTACATATACAAAGCGTAATGAGTTTCTGATCATATGCTTCCCTTCTGCATTGTATGTCTTTTGTCAACATTTGCAGTTCGGAACAAATTGGAGAGTCCTATTTCTTCCAGTTATGAAAAATGCTTTAATGAACTATATTAAGCTTTAAAACCATGATATCAAACTACCGTAGGTATAAAACACAGGTTCCATATTTGAGTGGGACTTTTTAAAATTACAAATCGGAATGGAACATATTTTATTACCTTTCCAGTGCATATAGTTAGCATTGTAAAGCATGGCTTACCTGAATCAGAGTGAGCTGATCATTATATTTTTCTTTCCAAACCTATGCCCTTTTATTTCAGGAAATTCAAAGTTACAGCAAGCTTGTGAAGAGTTACCAACCTTGACTAGTACCAGTCAAATATACCCAATGTTACAATACAATACAATAAGCCTTTATTGGCATAACATGGCAGAGAGTATAAAACATAGTACACGTAATAAAAAGGGCTTCTCGTTTGCTACACATTCAGTTTGCAGACTTCATTCAGGAATCTTGCCACTGAAAGGCAGCAGCTAAAGTCCTGGCAATTTAAAAGCAAAATCACTTTGTCAGAATCGCTGCGGTTCTTCAGTGAATCTATAGCTTGTGTTAGCAGGCTGGATCTTAGCTCCTGGTAGAGTGGACAGTGCAGGAGAATATGCGGTATGGAGTCTAGCTGTCCTGTGCTGCAGGGGCAGACCCTCTTGTCGCTCGGGAGGCCATTGAGTCTTCCTCTATGGAGCGGCGATGGCATGATGTTAAATCTAGCCAGCATGTAGGCTCTTCTGTAAGAGGGGTTGGTGAGCTCTGTGATGTAAAAGGCTGGATTTCCCTGTGTGTATGGAATTGCCAAGTTAATAGGTGAGCAGGATTTGTTTGCCAAGCTCAACAATTGGTTGTAGTCCCTTTCTAGCAGCCTCCTTTTGATGAGGGTAGAAATCTCGGAAAAAGATAGTAGAGTCAGGAAATCGCTGTCGTAGCCCAATTCCCCGATCTTTGCTAGGACAGTTGAGCACCATTTGGAGTGGTGGAGTTCGCTCAAGGTGAGTTGAGTCAGAGAGTCGCTGGGACTTTGATAGTGTATAGATAGCCAAAATTTAATGACGATTAGCCAGATAGTAGCCTCAATAGAATATTGCCCAGATTCAAGACAGAGAACTGCATACGGGACACAGTTAGGGGCACCATATAGTTTGTGGAGGAATTTCGAATGAAAAGATCTGATGGCGCTGTTATTGGGGGTTAACCAGATGGGTGCTCCATAGAGAAGTTGTGACATCGCCTTTGCTTTGAAGACTTGCAGAGCTAGGGGGATATATTGATTACCCCTGGAGTGGAAGAACCTCCTGGTCGCACTGCCACTCGATTTGGCCCGGGCCAGTGTATATTTTAAGTGGGTGGACCATGACAAGTTGTTGCTAAACCAGAGACCTAGGTATTTGAAATGTTTTACTTGCTCAATATAGTGGCCCTTTATCTTCCAGACTTGTCTTTTGTTGCTTTTCCCAAACGCCAAGATTTTGGTTTTATCGAAGTTCACCTGCAGTTCGTTCGTCTCGCAAAAATCAACAAATTTATGCAGGAGTCTTTTTAAGCCCACATGAGAGAGGGATAATAGGGCTGCATCATCCGCAAATAGCAAAAGGGGGACATGCTTTGGGCCAATCTTGGGGCTATGCCCGTCAACTTGGGCCAGGGCTGTAGGGAGATCGTGCAAAAAGATGTTGAAGAGGAGTGGGGCTAGTACGCACCCTTGTTTGACTCCCTTTTGAACCAGGATCGGGTTTGACAGGCATCCCCTGTGGTCTTTCACCTGGCAGAGGTTTTGGTTGTGCAATTTCTTAATCAAGAAGAGGAGTCTTGGGTCTATGTTGAGGGCTGCTAGTTTTTCCCACAACTTTTCTCTATTCACAGAGTCAAATGCCCCCTTCAGGTCCAAAAAGGCCACGTTTAGCTTATTAGGGCAATTTTTTGAGTATTTGTTGGCTAGGTGGGCCAAGATGTGAGTCTGGTCTAATGTTGATTTCCCCTTAGAGAATCCTGCTTGTTCTGGGCCAATTATGTTGTTTTGGTTGACCCATGATTCTAGCTTAGTTTGCAGGAGCTTGGCATACATCTTCCCTATTATGGAGAGCAGGCTAATGGGCCGATAGTTCGTTGGATCGTTTTGGTCTCCTTTTTTGAATATTGGGACCATTATAGAGGAGGTCCATGCCTTTGGCATGTACCCCGTTTCGTTGATCCTTGTGAAGAGGTTTGCTAGTAGATTTGCCCACCACAGTGGGTTTGCCTTCAGTATTTCAGGGATAATGTGATGTTATCCCTGAAATCCCAATGTTATGAACACAGTTTCATATCATATATCATATTGTATTTTTTCATTTCCTATCACACAGAACAATAGTCAATTGTTAGCTCATGTAAAAAAACAAGTGTTCTTGCAATATAATCCCATATATATTTTTCAGAATTAAGTGACAGTGAAAAGTCCTGTGCTGAGCGAAAGATTTAATGTGGCTTTAGTTAATGAAGTACTTTTTGTGTGTGTCAGGAGTGACTTGAGAAACTGCAAGTAGCTTCTGGTGTGAGAGAATTGTCCATCTGCAAGGACATTGCCCATGGGGTACCCAGAAGTTTTATCATCCTGTGGAAGGCTTCTCTCATGTCCCTACATGAGAAGCTGGAACTGACAGACGGGAGCTCACCCTGCTCCCCGGATTCCTGTTGGCCCAAGAATTTAACCCATTGCACCACCGGGGGCTCCTATAATGAAGTTCATGAGGCAGAATAAGGCGAAGGGGATGACACTAAATTTGGTGAAATCTCTGTTGATTCTCAGCTGCTATTTTTCCTGCAAAATGCTTAATTTCATGGTTATGAAGGTCTGATTTTCAGTCTTGTTATGATTTATTTAAAACAGTGGTTCTCAACCTGTGAGTCCCCAGATGTTTTGGCCTTCAGTTCCCAGAAGTCCTAACTGCTGGTATACTGGCTGGGATTTCTGAGAGTTGTTGGCCAAAACACCTGGTGACCCACAGGTTGAGAACCACTGGTTTAAAATAATCTTCACGGGCAGTTCAAAAACATGCAAATGTGAGTAGATCAATAGGTACTGTTCTGGCGGGAAGGTAACGGTGCTCCATGCAGTCATGCAAGCCACATGACCTTGGAGGCATCTATGGACAATGTCAGCTCTTGGCTTAGAAATGGAGATGAGCACCAACCTCCAGAATCGGACACGACTTCATGTCAGGGGAAAACCTTTCACCTTTACCTATACTTAAAAAAAAACACCTTTTCTACAATTATGTGCATTTTGTCAAGTCTTTTAGATAATAGAAAGAAGTATTGCCTAATGGCTGCCTGTTCCATGTTAAGAAAGAACAGTTAATATATGGTACATTTGAAATACTTTTTCAGAGAAGGTTTCTGCTAAATACTGAAAACAGTTCTAAAAAGGGATAGTACAAACTCAAACCTTTCAACTGCAAATGTGCCAAGTTAATTTTAGTCTGTCACATATTTCTGATAGTTACAAGAGTTAACATTTTGATGTTCAGGGTGATCGCTGCATCATGGGTCAGCAGAGAAGTTTTCGTAAGAGGAAGAGCTCATCGTGGTGCATTAAAGGAAGAAGCTTTACGTCAGCACTCACTTCCAAAGTCTGTGAATGTAGACCTTCTGACTTCTTATGGTGAGCCTTTTTATAAGTGGTTTCAGCTTGGTTATTCTGCACGAGTCTCATGATTTATTTGATTTATACAAGTTCAGGATAGTTGAGAGTCAGTCCGACCAAAAAGAAGTGCAGTCACTGAATGTGCCTATGCCATGTGCCACCCTGCCTAGCACAGCATTTCCCATTCAGCAGATGCCCTGATTCTCTATGTAGGGTTTACAGGAAGCTGGAGTGGGTGCAGTGGGGAAAAGAAGGTAGGGAGGCATGTTTCTGTCTAACACTTTTAAATCTGGGTCCAGTCTGTTGGAGGTTGTAAATGTAAGCTTTACCACCATTTCTGAACCAAAATATACCCTGCAGTATAATAAAGTGTCACTCAGGCTTGTGTAACAAGAAACAGTATATTTACTTCTATTCTAAAGATCAAACAGGGCCACAATATATGCAGCAGTCTCTCTGAATTCACATGGAGAACAGAGGGAACAAGCAATTCCTTTAAACAATCTTTAAATATGCCTCATTTGCTTTATAAATAATCAGGCTTTGGAAAATTGGCAGCCATTTCCTTCCCGACTGTTTTCAGTCAGCGCTCTCTTCACTCCCCAAGGTTTATGTATTTATCGTGTCAGGAGCGAACCAAACAGTTGTATTGTAAAAAAAAAAGTGAAAGTGGCAGTTAAAACCGTTTGTCTCAGCAGCAAGCCAGAGACAGTAGCCAATCAGAATTCTGACTCCTGGCATGCTCAGCCAACCAGCTGTTGACACATGCCTTTCCAGTCAACCCATTACATCATGGTGCCTTTTTACAAATCCCCACACAAACTCTCAAAAACTGTTTCTGAGCAGATTATTCTGACTATTTCAGAAATCTATGCATCCAATTTTTTGAAAAAAAGGTGGTTTTGCACTACTTTGAAAAATAACATTACGTCTCATTTTTTGGTGGGTGAGTTAGTCAATTCTTCATTTATTTGTGCTTATTAAACATATAAAAAACTTCAAAAGTTTTCAGAATGTCGTATAGACATATTTTGACAGCAATGTCAAGCATATGAAGGAATAAACTCAGGTTATAAAGAATTATACCACAGATATAAATTATGGGACAATTTGGGGAGTTCAAGAATACCTTTAAAACCATCTGAACCCAACTATGTTTTCCTTTTCTATTGAAAAGTCCGGGAATGAGATTGCAATATACAATATGTAGTCCAAGTCACCTAGGAAATATTGAGATTTTATAAGTGAAATCTGGGAGGTATGGATTATATTTATAACGTGCTGATGATGGACATGGATCTGTTTCTGTATTCTCTCTTCAGTGAGCTGTATAGGCACAGATCAATCAGCAACACATATATTTAATCCGCCTGCAAGTCTATGGAACATACTACAAACTCATATCTGCTAGAGAAGGCTGTATAGCAGTGGTTTCCAACCTTTTTTTTTTGCATTGGATCAACCACATCAGCTCTAGTTTCTGATACAGAACATATGCCACCCAGTAGTCGTCATCTGCTCACCCACAGAAAACCATATTTAATAATCCTCGGCACTATAAGAAGGTTTCGCGAGACCAGTTGCTCTCGTTGCAACAGTGTAGTAACGGTGAGGACATGGACCATATTTTAGTTCTTGTGGACCACTGGTGGTCTCCAAACCACAGGTTGGGAACCATTGCCATAGAGCTATGGCACTGCAAAGGCAGAGACATCTTTCACGGTGGGGATCCTGCTACCCAGACTCTAACATAAAGCTCTTTTCTGGGTGAAACTGCAGGGACATGGGCTTTCCTAGAGACTTTGTACTTGCTAAGCTACATCCTTATAGGATGAAAATAGGTTACAGGTGACAAGCATCATATCCCCACTGATGGAAATTAGGTCGTAGAACCCATGAGCCCCCTATCATGCTACACACCAGAGAGAAGTGGGATTCATGCACCAAGAAGTGGGATTCATGCACCGGTGTAAATTGTTCATACCTAGTATTAATATAACAGTTGGTTTTTCATGTTTGCAACTGCTGAAACTCTTAGCAAAGACATGTCTGTTGAATAGTTCATTTTTCTCATTCTATAGTGATTATGGATTTGAGCGTTCAGCATTACCAAAATCTGAATATAGTGCATGCTTTGCTGATTTCTGGTTTAATCCCGGAACACCTCCTGAAGACTGTGTCCTAGGACAGGCCTATAGAAGCAGCACCGGGTAAGTGCTTGAGTAGTATTCCTCTTTTTTCTTTCCATTACTGTATGTAGTGCTTTTTGAAACAAGTATTCAGGGTTGATAATGGTACCCATCCCTGATCAGATAAGGCATTTTATTACTTTGAATGCATCTGTTCAGGTTATCAACAGGGGTTATATCATAACCCTATACAAAACAGCCTGATTCCAAAGAGGTTGTCACACAGTATTGTAATTCCACAATTGTCCTCCATTAGCCCCATCTTTGTCTAAAGCTTATGCTTCCTCCAATGCTGTTTTATTCTGTACTGTTACCAGGTCATTTGGAAATTGACTCTTCTTTTTTTTTACATTTTTTTATAAGGGGAGTAGCGCAGAGGTGTAATTCTGACATGATCCTTTTAAGGGTTAATGCTCAAAGGAACCACGGGGATCAACAAAAGTATAAAGAATACAGGCTTTTTTTATTATGTCAGAAGCAACTTGAGAAACTGCAAGTTGCTTCTGGTGTGAGAGAATTGGCTGTCTGCAGAGACATTGCCCAGGGGACGCTCGAATATGTTGCCAACCTGTGGGAGGATTCTCTCATGTCCTCACATGAGAAGCTGGAGCTGGCAGACGGAAGCTCACCCTGTCTCACTGATTCAAACTGCCATCCTTCATGTCAGCAATTCAGCCAGCACAAGGGTTTAACCCAATGTGCCACCGTGGCTCCATAAAGAATAAATAACATTTATTCAATAAACAAGTATTGTATGTAAACATACAATAAGTTTAAAGAATTATTATTCAAAAGTAGAATTGAGCAAATGTTGGTTCACAGTAAAAATAAAGAAAAACAGAAGTGGTGGAGGGGAATGTTCATCTTCCTTATGGAATGGGGTGGTTGCATTATCACATCATTATGTAATTGCAGAATTACAGAATATAATTTTGAAACTATATAGTGAATCACTTTTGTTTGGCCATTGAGTCTCAATTAAGATATATGTTGCTTTCAGACTGACACATTACAGTTTTTCTAATGCAGTTAAATTCATTTGGATTATGTATTTGTAAATGATAACAGTGCCTGATTATGATATTGACAATTAATAGAGATAAAAAGCAGCCATACAAAGACATGTTACAACAATATGTAACAAAGGGATGTATTGTTTCCATGGTTAGGTCTGTAGCTGGTTTCCTCAATAGGTCTATTTAGGACTGACACTAAAGCTTATGGATGGGTATGCAATGCAGAGAGTGGGAATTTATAATTTGTTGTGTTGTCGAAGACTTTCATGGCCGGAATCACTGAGCTGCTGTGAGTTTTCCGAGCTGTATGGCTATGCTCCAGAAGCATTCTCTTCTGACGTTTCACCCACATCTATGGCAGGCATACTCAGAGGTTGTAAGATTTGTTGGAAACTAGGCAAGTGGGCTTTATATATCTGTGGAATGTCCATGGTGGGAGAAACAACTCTTGTCTGTTTGAGGCAAGTGTGAATGTTGCAGTTGATCACCTTAATTAGCATTGAATAGCCGTTCAGCTTCAAAGCTTGGCTGCTTCCTGCCTGTGACAGTCCTTTTTTCAACCAGAGAAGTCAGCCATAGCAGAGCACTGGACCACTCTAACAACCACCATGCCAGACTACACAGAGAAGCCATTGAAATCCACAAGCATGTGGACAATTTCAGCAGAAAGGGGGAGACCATGAAAATGAACAAAAACTGGCTACCAGTATGTAAAAACTCTAAAATCATAAGTAAACAAAGACCAGCATTCCAAACCAGGGGAATTCCAGACAAGAAATAATCAGAGTCAGCTAACACCTCCCAACAAAGGATTCCCCCAGGCAGGAAGCAGCCAATATTTGAAGCTCCAAGGCCATTCAGTGCTAATCAAAGTGATCAACTCCAGTATTCACACTTGCCTCAAGCAGACATATATCTGGACATTCCAGATATATAAACCTCACTTGCCTATTTTCCAACAGACCCCTCAACCTCTGAGGGTGCCTGCCATAGATGTGGGTGAAACGCCAGGAGAGAATGCTTCTGGAACATGGTCATACAGCAAAGAGAACTCAGAGCAACCTTATGATTTGTTTATTGTTAAGAGATGATAGGTTTGAATCTATTCAAAGGATGGGTGTGTTGTATTTATTGGGCCATTCTCACATAAGTATCGATACCACGGACTCTAAAATATGGTTCCTAAGCTACCCCACACATCTCATCATGCATTTTGTCTATTGTAACTTTTGAAGTTTGGTTTTCTTAGTCCTACACTGACAACTTAGAGACCCCAAAGGAACTGGCAAATGTTTTGATTCACAGGTGTAACGAAAACATTTCTAGCAGTTTTCAGCAGCAGGAGTTTGTCTCTTGTATAGCTGGTTGCACTTGACTGCTCAAGGCAATTTGGATTACAGCAAGAGCAACTCCAGGAATGGACAGCTAGTGTAATTTTGTGGTCTGAGCACTGGACTATTTCAAATCCCCACTCAGGCATAGGAACCCATAATGGGACCTTGGGCAAGTCACGTTCTCTTGAAGCCTCAAAAACCTCTGTGATGTTCACCTTAGGATCACCACACGTTGGAAGCAACTTGAAGGTACAGGAGTATAACTACAGAGTGGCGGGGACGATGAAGGCATTGCCTTTCAGTGAAAATTCTGGCCCTGCAAATAAACTTCTTCTTTGGTTCTCAATTTTCTTTTATTTAATTTTTTAACATATTATCAAAAAAAAACCCTCAAATTTCTAACATCATAGATGTGAGAGTGAAACATTGAAAATTGTTTACACCCAGAACTCTTACATTTACTGTATTTGCATTTCCCTGGGTCACTTTGTCTGCTCCTTTTCTTTGGATGCTAGACCTATATTTCTCAAGATCCAATTGTCTTTTGGGCTGCATAAGTAAACAGCAAGCTAGACTATTAATGGTCGGGAGCTTACTCCAACCTGGGCTGGCTTCGAACTCATGACCTCTCATTCAGTAGTGGATATAGGGCTGTGTGGAAGGGCCCTTAGCCACCTTGACTAGTAGCCATTCATAGATCTTCAGGAACTAGTCTGATTCTCTTTTGAAGGTTTCTAAACCAACAGATGTCACCACATCATGCAGTACCATGAACTGTCATCCTGCTCTTGGGATTGTCTTTGGCTTGATTTCCTAACTGCAAACTTGTCTCATCACCTTAGAAAGAAGTGATGGGAAATGTTGTGTACCTCCCTGAGGCACCAATCCCCTTTGAGTTCAGTCAAACTTTCTGTTTCAAGGACAGAAATATATACAAGTGTACATCTAACTTTTAACTGTCTAGACAATTAGATAATATTCTCTCTCTCTCTCTCTCTCTCTTGTCCTACAGATATCGCAAAGTTATTTCTAATGTGTGTGAGGGTGGTGTAGACTTACAGCAAAATATATCTCAGCACCTGTGCCCACTGACTGCTCCCAAAGGACTTCAGATAAGCATTAAAGGGGAAAGTCTGGCTGTTAAGCCTGGAGAAGATGTCACCTTTATTGTCAGACAAGATCAGGTAATTAAGATTTTCCATCTGTGTGCTCAAGAATCGGGAATTGATTTGAAGGATACTTAACATATTTTAAGATACTCTCTGTATTAGAATATCATTTCTGAGTAGATCGGTGATACACATTTCATATGATTCTGTGTAGCTGAGATCAAGTTTTTTGGAGACAGCAAATTATTATTTTTTTAATCCTTCAGGAGAACCTTGTCTCTTGAGAAGAATCAGATAGATCATCTGATCAAGAACCAGATTTACCTACCTAACAGTTAGAAAGAAAGCTTGTAACAGAGCTCTGCCTTGCAAGTGTGGTTTGATGATGGATCCAATTCACTGTCACTATTATTTATTATTATTTATTTACTGTATTTGTATACCGCCTTTCTCAGCCAATTGGCGACTCAAGGCGGTTACCAACAAATCTGTATACATAAAACATAATATAGATAAAAAACATTAAACAGTATAAAACATCACAAAAGCAATAAAAACAACATCATCAGTGTCTCATTATTCTCAAGCATTGTCCAGTTCCATTGTCAGGTCATTCGATTTCCTATATTAGGTACTCTGTATTTGTAAACGCTTGTCTGAATAGCCATGTTTTAACGTGCCTCTGAAATGTCAAGAGAGAGGGAGCGGATCTGATCTCCCTAGGGAGGGCGTTCCATAGCCAAGGGGCCACCACTGAGAAGGCCCTGTCTCTCGTCCCCGCCAAATGTGCTTGTGACGAAGGTGGGACTGAGAGCAGGGCCTCCCCAGATGATCTTAAAGTCCTCTGTGGTTCGTAAGGGGAGATATGTTCGCACAGGTAAGTTGGGCCAGAACCGTTTAGGGCTTTATAGGCCAAAGCCAGCACTTTGAATTGGGCCCGGTAGCAAACTGGCAGCCAGTGGAGCTGGCACAACAAGGGGGTTGTATGCTCCCTGAGTGCCGCTCCTGTTAAAAACCTGGCTGCGGTTAGTTGGACTACTTGAAGCTCCCGGACCATCTTCAAAGGCAACCCCACATAGAGAGCGTTGCAGTAATCTATACCCAATATTTTAGGCCCTGGTTGGTTTTGGGAATGTATTGTCGAAGGCTTTAATGGCCGGAATCACTGGGTTGTTGTAGGTTTTTCAGGCTGTATGGCCATGTTCTGGAAGCATTCTCTCCTGACGTTTTGCCTGCATCTGTGGCAAACATCCGTACAACCTCTGAGGAGGAGTGCCACAGATGCAGGCAAAATGTCAGGAGAGAATGCTTCTAGAACAGTGGTTCTCAACCTGGGGTCCCCAGAGGTTTTGGGCCTACAACTCCCAGAAATCCCAGCCAGTTTACCAGCTGTTAGGATTTCTAGGAGTTGAAGGCCAAAAACATCTGGGGATCCCAGGTTGAGAACCACTGTTCTAGAACATGGCCACGCAGCCCGAAAAACCTGCAACAACCTGGTTTTGGGAATGTTTCCCATTTTTTCTTGAATCTGTGGTAGAACATTAGGGGGAGAAACCCCAAATCAATCTGGGGTACTCTTATCACAATCTCATGTTTCTGTTCTTCAACCAGTCCAAGAGAGATGAGGACAGAAACAGGATTCCCCTTCTGAGTGTTCTAGTTTTGATCTTATCAGGAAGAAGAAGTTTGAGGTTCAAAGCTAAAGAAACCTTAAGCAAATTTCAAAAATATTCCTATTTACAAACCAACAGGTTGATTAATAGACAAAAGAGTGAACTCGAAACTATCACCTTTATTAGAAATATTACCTCACATGGTTGAATCAGTTTAAATGTGCACCACATATCTATATATTGGTGGAAATAAATAAATAAATAAATAAATAATAAACTTTATTTAATACCCCGCCACCATCTCCCCAACGGGGACTCGGGACGGCTTACATGAGGCCAAGCCCAATAACATATTACAATAAAGTAAAACCAAAACACAATAACAACACAGTAAAATACATACAACATATGAGTACAAAAATGATAAGCAAAATCATACACAGTAAAATAACATAACAATGAGTGGGCCGCATGTGCAAGATAAAAACTAAAATACTAAAAATGCTAAAACCAGGATGAGATAGGGATGGAGCAGATTGTTTGTGGGGGAGAAATTCATAAAGGAACGGGGTCATAAATATAGACCTTCATACAGGTGGGGAAATACACTCTGGGGACAAAAAGGAGGTAATTGTCAGTATGATGAAAAGTAACAATCTTCTGATATCTAATTTTATTTTGTTTCCTATTATCATTGGCTGAGTATGTGATGTTTCTTTTGTCTTCTAATTTCATTTATTCTTGAATTTTCATAGGGAGATATTTTAAATACCAAGTACCAAGTGAATCTTGGTGATGGAGTAAAGGCAGTGTACATGAACCTCACGTTGACAGGGGAACCCATTCAGCACCGCTATGCAAATCCTGGAGTTTACCGTGTCTCCGTGGTAGCAGAGAATGCGGCTGGCCAAGATGAAGCAATTGTGTTTGTTCAGGTTCAGTGTAAGTCTTTCATTCTCTTACGCCCTTTTCTCTAGTCTTTTACCTCTGTTGTTTTCCTTTTCATTAACATTAAATGAACTGCTAATTTGGTCATACAACTTTCCAGCTATCTGCAGAGATGGCTTTTGACAAACTGAATCAGAGACTTTGATCTAGATGTGTGGCCTAGGCAGCCCTTGTTTGAACAAAAGTTTTGTTTTGTTTTTGTCTTCAATTTTTATGGCATTTTTAAAAAGCTACAGCTTAAAAACCCCAGTCAAAATTAAATAAAGTAGTGAAACACTAAAATATAACAACTGAAACTATGCTAAAACATCCCTCAAATCCTTCCTCCCCACAACCTCCCTTGCCCGTAACCCCAATTTAAAAATCTATATAAATAAAAATGTAATGTTTGTTTGTGGGATTAACAGAACTCAAAAACCACTGAACGAATTGACACCAAATTCGGACACAAGACACCTAACAACCCAATGTATGTCCTTCACTCAAAAATTGATTTTGTCATTTGGGAGTTTTAGTTGCTGGGATTTATAGTTCACCTACTATCAAAGAGCATTCTGAACTCCACTGACAATAGAATTGGACCAAACTTGGCACACAGTTCTCCCATGACCAAGAGAAAGTACTGGAAGGGTTTGGTGGGCAGTGTCCTTTGGTTTTGGAGTTGTAGTTCACCTACATCCAGCCATCACTGTGGACTCAAACAATGATGGATCTGGACCAAACTCTACACAAATACTCAATATGCCCAAATGTGAATACTGGTAGTTTGGGGAAAATAGAATCTTGACATTCGGGAGTTGTAGTTGCTGGGATTTATAGTTCACCTACAATCACAGAGCATTCTGAATCCCACCAACGATAGAATTGGACCAAACCTCCCACACAGAACCCCCATGTGGGCCACAGCAATGTGTGGCAGGGGGCGGCTAGTAATACAAATAAAATACAAAACTAGAAAAGATGTTAAGAATGCAGATATTTTATCCTCCTCTCAAGCCAAGGCATTAATGGGTTGCTGTGAGTTTTCCAGGCTATATGGCCATGTTCCAGAAGCATTCTCTCCTGACGTTTCACCTACATCTATGGCAGGCATCCTCAACATTCCAATAAACCCCTCTACCTCTGAGGATGCCTGCCATAGATGTGGGTGAAACATTAGGAGAGAATGCTTCTGGAACATAGCCATACAGCCTGGAAAATTCACAGCAACCCAGTGATTCCAGCCATGAAAGCCTTCGACAACTCAAGGCATTAATCATAATTAAATAAATGTAATCATATAGAGGTCTTCTCATCTCTGACACTTTGATTCAGCCTACAAAATCCATAAAGCCTCTGCATCACAAGAGAATAGTCACATTATTTTAAAAGCAAATGTCACAGTCCTCTGGGCTATACTTCTGTTTTAACGAAAATCCTCTAACATAGTTTTCTTTAAAGTAAACTGTAAAGTCAGCCAATATTTGTGTTGAAATTTTCATGCTCTTGGACTAAAGTGGCACAGGATACAGTGATTTATGTGGCTTGTAAAACCCCTCTGGGAGAGTTTGAAGCAGATCTCACTAAATGCATGCAATATGCTGCCGGGGAAGCGGGGGCACAAAGATCAAGCAAACAGTAAATATTAAAAGAGAATGCTAATGGCAAAGCGCTTTAGAGAAAATGATCTGGTTGAGATGCAAGAAATGGAATAGCGTCACAATAGGAATTACATGCCAAGCAATTAGCAAAAGAAGGACACATCCAACATAGCATTTGCCTTCCGTAGGGACATTTCTTCTCATACTGCCCCCATTCCTGATGCAGAATTTTATGGCCTGGACTCACATAAAATCTAAAGGTGTATCACCGTTGTGTCGTGGTGGTGCAATGGGTTAAACCATTTATTTATTTATGTATTTATTTATTTATTTACAGTATTTATAATCCGCCCTTCTCACCCCGCAGGGGACTCAGGGTGGATCACATTGCACATATACATGGCAAACATTCAATACGATAGACACACAACATATATAGACACACACACAGAGGCTATTTCACTGTCCAGCTTCATGAGGGTATGCTTTGAATTCCAGCCACTGGGGGAGCTGCCGCTTCACCGTCCACTGGTGAAACCAATGGAGTACTTCCTCATTCTTTTGCATGCTGCTGGAGAGTTTTATGGCATCGTAATTTAGTTAAATTAGCCTCCCCACATAAGCGGTACCTGAATTTCCTACTTGACAGCTGCAACTGTCGTTTGGGCTGCAAAGGTTGACAGCAAGCTATACAAATGGTCTGGAACTTACTCTGACTTGGGCTGGCTTCGAACTCATGACCTTTTGGTCAGTAGTGATTTTAATGCAGCTGACTCCCAACCAGCTATGCATTGAGCTGCTGAACTTGCTGACCTGAAGGTTGGCAGTTCAAATCCATGGGACGAGGTGAGCTCCTGCTGTTAGCCCCAGCTCCTGCCAACCTAGCAGTTTGAAAATATGCAAATGTTAGTAGATCAGTAGGTACCACCTCGGCAGGAAGGTAAACGGTGCTCCATGAAGTCATGCTGGCCACATGACCCAGGAGGTGTCTATGGACAACATGGGCTCCTCGGCTTGGAAATAGAGATTAGCACCTCCCCCAGAGCTGGAGATGAGCACCACTCTCAGAGCCGGAGATGAAAGGGGAAGCCTTTGCCTTTGTGTATTGGTGTTTCATTTGTATTTTATTGTTTCAAGGCACCTAACCTTTGCCTGTGTCTGTATATATGCTGTCATCTGCCTTGAGTCCCCTTGTAGAGATAAGGCAGAATATAAATAAAGTGTTGTTGTTATTTTGACATGGCAATTATCTTGGTGCTAATCCTGAGTGGGCTACTCTGGATCAGCATCAGTAGTAACTACACTGTCAGTCCCTGAGCCTCCCCCCCCCCCCAGACTATAGCTTATCTCCCCAAATAATGTCCACTCGTGGCCTTTGGGGGACAATATTCCCGAGTCTGGTGAGTTCAGTGGTCATTAATTACTCTAACAGGCTTGGAAAATCCAAATCAGCGCCCCTCCCCCAACACCAACAGCCACTCTGGGGCCAGAATAAAGAAGGGGAGCCAGGAGGACGTTGCCACTCTGGGGCCAGAATTGTTTTTATACCATGTCTTGAATTTTGTTGTTCCTATGTTGTAAACCGCTGTGAGTCGCCCCTGGGCTGAGAACAGCGGTATATAAGCAAAGTAAATAAATAAATAAATAAATAAATAAGCTCTTCCGCAGAGAATAAATTGACCTTTTCAGGTTTCTCATTTCAGCTGGCCTCACATATTCAAGGCAATTTGATTTTAAATGAGACTTACTTCCTCCATTTTCTTATAAGTTCCATTGAGAAAGCATTATGGGAATGTGGTTAACCTCATCATTGTGGTTGCTTGCTTACCTCAACCTCTTCACAGCGTGGTCTCTGGAATGTGCCTGAGAAATGCAAAAATAATGTGGCTCAGCACACACAGCCTGTTTGGATGAGATTGCTGATGAGCTGTGAAACAGTTTGCAAAATTAATAGCTTCTTAATTAATGACTGGGACTCTTTCCAGTTCCACTGCAGGCTTTGCATCTCGAAGTCGTTCCTGTTACTGGCAGAAACCAGCAGGTGAATCTGACCGCCATCATCCTGCCAAGGAATGCAAACTTCACACTGTTTTCCTGGTGGATTGGAAACGACCTTCAGGTATTGAATGGCAATTACATCCAACCTTTTAAAGCATGTAAACCTCTTTTTTAACAGTAGCATGTTACAAAAAAAAATCTCAAAGAAACATATTAAAACTGTCAGCTTAAAAACAATCTTCTTAGGCTGAAACTTTTGCGTATATATCCTTTGCATTTCACTTTGCATTGCAAACTATCTCTTCCAGTTCAGCGGGGAAATGTCTCAATTGGTGGTACACAATTGGTGGTACTAAGAACCACCTGTCTGAGAAGGATACACACATTTGTGCATGTACACACATATATACATACACTCAAGGGTCATCTATTCTATATTAACTTTCAAATACTTTTTGGCTTGCTTTTCTGGGATTGGCTAGTTGTTCGGATCTTTCCCTCATTGGCTAATGCAGTGTTTCTCAACCTGGGGGTCGGGACCCCTGGGGCGGGATCACAAAGGGGTTTCAGAGGGGTCACCAAAGACCATCAGAAACCAATCTTGACACACAGAACGCCCATGACCAACAGAAAATTCTGGAAGTGTTTGATGGGCATTGATCTTGAGTTTTGGAGTTGTAGTTCACCTACATCCAGAGAACACTGTGGACTCAAACAATGATGGATCTGGACCAAATTTGGGACAAATACTCAATATGCCCAAATGTGAACACTGGGGAAGTTTGGGGAACATAGACCTTGACATTTGGGAGTTGTAGTTGCTGGGATTTATAGCTCATCTACAAAGAGCCCCTTGAGCCATACCAATGATAGAATTGGGCCAAACTTCCCACACAGTACCCCAAGACCAACAGAAAATACTGGAAGGATTTGGGAGGAATTGACAGTGATTTAGGAGAGAGCACGCCTGCTTTCCCCTCCCAGCTTGGAGTGTCAGAAACAGCCCTCCCCTTGGTTGAGAGGCCAGCCAATCACAGTAGGAGGAGGGCTTTTGGTGGGTGGATTCACCCTCTGTTCCCAAAAAGAAAGAGAAGGACGGGTGGAGAGAACTTCAGCCTTCTCTGCCAAATGGGTTCCAAGACCATCAGAAATATGTTTCAATTCCATCGTTGGTGGAGTTCAGAATATTCTTTGATTGTAGGTTAAGTATAAATCCCAACAACTACAACTCCCAAATGACAAAATAAATCACCTTCCGAACTCCACCAGTATTCAAATTTGGTCCAGCGAATGAAATTACATCCTGCATATCAGATATTTACATAACAATTCATAACAGTAGCAAAATTACAGCTATGAAGTAGCAACGAAAATAATTTTATGGTTGGGGGTCACCACAACATGAGGAACTGTATTAAGGGGTCGCGGCATTAGGAAGGTTGAGAAACATTGGGCTAATGAATCCCCCCTGCCAAACTCCACCAAAAAAAAAAGTTTAAACTGACTTGATATCAAAACTTTTGTTATGGGGTGGTAATGGTGATGATATTTGCATGTAGCCCACAGTTACTACTTAATTATGGCCTATGCTGAAATCTGAAAATTTAAAAGAAATGGTGGGAATGTCAGAGGAAAATATGGAAATTAAGTATGTCTAGAAATGTTTCCAGATCCTGACTCTCTTGTCTCTAATCCTTGATAGGATCAGCTTGATTGATTGACTCATCTTACCAGCCAACATCTCTTTTTTTTAACTAGAGGTATAAATGTATTAATGTTGACTGGATGGCATTGAATGTTATATTTTATATTTGGAAGCTGCCTTGAGTCCCTTTGAGGAGAGAGGGCAGGTTAAAAATAAACTATTATTATTATTATTATTATTATTATTATTATTATTATTTGATGCATAACAAGATTGGTACACAGCAAACAAGATCACTATACTGGCTTTTGTATGCGATCATACGTCAAGACACTTCCCAAGTCTAGGACTGTGTGATGTATTGGCGAATAATGTGTGCAGATCTGAATTGAGTGGCCTTTTGCAACTGACAGATGGTAATTTTGTCAGCACTGATAGTTTTTAAGTGCAGGCCAAGGTCTTTAGGCACTGCACCGAGTGCTGATCACCACTGGGGTCGCCTTTACTGGCTTCTTCTTCTACTTATTATTATTATTATTATTATTATTATTATTATTATACCTTCAAACAGTCTGTTTTTGTTCAATGCCCTTTGCACATTCTCAGGAGCGTTTGCTGGGATTGGTTGGTCAAATAAAAAATGCCACATTTAAGTACTTACTTATTTAGAATATCATTCACTTTTCTATCCAAGATGCTCAAGAAACCAAAAGTTCATTTCATAATGGGCTATTTCAACCTTTATTTTTTCCTAAGTACATTTTCTTCATACATTTGTTTCAGAGGCTAAATGAAAATGTGCCCATCCACCTTTACCTCCCCAATTCCAGCCAATTAATGTGTCAGGTTGTTTTGCCAACTTTTCACACTTTTTATAGTTCAGCCGTCCCTTCATTTCCAAGGAGGTTTGCTCGTGACTGTCCTCCTTTGTTTCATGAAATGCTCAGAAGTGACAGGACATCCATGACATTCTGGAGAGCAAAGATGGTTGCTGCCAGCTGGTGGTCTCCTAAAAGGAACCCTTAACAAATACCTCTGTCATATTATAATTGCTGCTCGTGGTAAACCCCCTCATACCTTTCCATTTTATTTATTTATTTACAGTATTTCTATTCCGCCCTTCTCACCCGACAGGATGGAACACAATGCACATATACATGGCAAGCATTCAATGCCATAGACACACTAAATATATAGACAGACATACAGAGACTATTTAACTTTCCAGCTTCATGAGGGTATGTCTTTTGAATTCCAGCCACCGGGGGAGCTGTCGCTTCACCATCCACTTGTGACACCGATGGAGTACTTCCTCATTCTTTTGCATGCTGCTGAAGAGTTTTATGGCATCATAAATTAGTTAAATTAGCCTTCCGCATAAGCGGTACCCAGGCCTGTAGCGAGGGGGTGGTTTTAGGGGTTCAACCCCCCCCCCGAAATGTTTCAGATTTTTTTAAAAAACCTGGTTTACTCATGAATTTTAACTGGTTATCCCCATGCTAAGTCTATGAGATGCCAAAAATTAAGAGTCCCTCCAGAACCCTAAGCACTATCTCAAGCAAATATTGACAATTTATTCACACTGTCATTACTTGCAGCAATAGCCAATGTAGCGAAGCAACCAAGTTGTGTGTGTGTGTGTTGAATGCTCTCATTAAGGAGGCCAGACTTGGTGGAGGTGGTTGACAGGGGCGGAGCTGCAGGCTATTGAAGGTTGCTCTGCCCCCTGCTGTGCTATTTGCTTCAGCGTGAGCTAGGAGACAGGTTTCAAACCCACCCACCCCCCCCCGAAATTTTCAACCCTCCCCGAAATTTTCAATCCCCCCCCCCCCGCCGAAATTGTCAACCCTCCCCGAAATTTTTTTCTGGCTACGGCCCTGCCAGAACATGTGCATGGCATTGAGAATTAACTGTCTTTTGGGCTGCAAAGGTCAACAGCAGGCTAGGCAAATGGTCGGGAGCTTACCTTTCGCTCAGTAGTGATTTTAATGCAGCTGACTCCCAAACAGCTGCACCACAACCCGGCCATTTTGCTCCTTACCCCTAAATTCACCCCCATTTCACCCCTTAAATTTTTTTCCTAGGTTCAAATCAGAAATACACAATTGGTAACTCTGGTTTGGTCATTATTCTAAGTTTCTTTCCCCCTCTTGTCTCCCTTCACTTCCCTCTTTAGCCAGTTCTTACATTGGAGAATTTTTTGGTGACCAGTTTCGCAGAGATTGGGGAAGTGAGAGTTACAGTTCAGGCTTCTAGCGGGAACTCCATGCTCCAGGACTCCAAGACTGTCCAGGTTTTAGGTGAGCTCCTTTCCTTTATATTGCATATTCATACAAGGCAGATTCTGCCATCTTTACCAGTTTGTTGCAAGTAGCATATATTATGATGTCCTCAATTTCCAGAACGTCAGCTGTGAAAATGAGAAGCACATACTAACTCGGCATGAATTTCACTCCTTTAGGGGCAGTTTTGTTGTACATATGGTATTATATGTTGTTTAATCTTTTTTTCTGAATGTCGGATAGGAAGAAAATAGGTAATGGTTTCAAATGCTCTTGTGAATAAAAAATTTTTTGCACTTGTCTTTTAGTTTATTAGTTGTATTTTCTTTTTTTTTTACTTTTACCAGACCACTTTCAAGTACTTCCACTCAGATTTTCTGAGCATCTGGATTTGTACAATCCAGATATTCCAGCCTGGCGGGAAGACATTGGCCATGTGGTAACACAACGGATATCAAAGGTGCTCTGTTTGATTGTTTTTTTCCTTTCTTTCTCTATCTCTTTGAAGCTGAACAACTTGAAGGTTATGTTGGCTCAGCAAAATTCTCACACTGGCTGCATTATTTTAGACCAAACTTAAGGTCATGTCGTATTGGATATAGATATGTAGAATACTGAAAGACTTTGATGCCACCATTTTAAAAAAGTCAAATTGAAGAATAATTGTTTGAATCCACTTAAAAATGAAACATCTGAAAACAAAAACAAGAAAATTAGCTTGCAGAATAGTTGTTTTTGGAATGAACATTACCAAGGCAGGTACTTTGCCAAAAATAGATGAAAATGCCACAAATATGGATTCTTTAGCTTTATATTTGGATTTTACTTTTAATTATTTTATGTATTATGAAAGAGATGGTAGCCTTCTGTGTCTCTGAGTGCATCTTCCCTGGCACTTTAAGGCGCATTGCGGGGTGGGGATCAGCTCCATGGCCATTACACCATACATGGAGTTGATTTGGCACAACATGTGCCGATGATGCTTAAAACAGACTTGAATCATGTTAAAAGAATTTGTTGGATGCTCCAGAGTTTTCCTCAAGCCTCAGAGTATCCAGTGATGTAGGCCTATGTAGACAACTTATTTATTTACCCTATTTACGAGGGTTGAATGAAAAGTAATGCCTCCACCTTCGTTACTTGGGTTTGGATGGGAATATTTTAATAAATCAAACACAGAAATCATCCTTAGAATGTGTTCTTTACCACTTTTGGATACATTTCTGCCAATGATTAACAAGTTTTTGGAAGCCGTGACAGAAGAAGTCGACACTCTGTTTCCGCAACGCATCGTGCACAGATCTTTCAATAGCCAAGCAAAGCAATAATGTGACCCACACGTTCTTGTGAAATGCTGATTATGCTTGAAATTTCTTTCTGAGTGATATGAAGGTCATCCTTCAGGTCATCAATCTGTCAACCTTTTGCTTGTGAAACTCGATGGTTGCTGTCACAGGATGTCCAACTCTTTGTTTGTCATGCAAGTCAGATGTTCTCACCTCAACATCTTTAAATTTACTTGCCCAACGACACACAGTACTCACATCAACACAATCACCATAAACAGCTTGCATTCTCTGATGAATGTCCTTTGGGGTGACACCTTCTGCTGTCAAGAATTCAGTGACTGCACGTTGCTTAAATCGCATTGACCAACCATCTGTGCAGGGTTCCATACTTTGCACTTTAACAAATCAACTGTTCAATGCCAAGGCTTCCTGCCAAAATGGAACTGTAGAGGAGAGTCTACTGAACAAGCTAGTACCTGCCGCATACTAGTACTGCCATCTGTTGAGGAGTTACAAAGGTGGAGGCATTACTTTTCATTCAACCCTCATAGACCCTGCCTTTCTCTACCCCGAAGGGTACTCAAGGTGGCTTACATATAAGCAATTATTCAATGCCTTTAAACACATACAATTCCAATAACATTAAAATTAAATGAAAATTAATACATATTAAGCATTTAAAAATTACTTTCAATATTAAAATCACACCATCCATAATCGTAGTCCAAAGCCATTCCATAGGCATTGCACATATTCCAAATCTGTTATTGCACTGCACTATTCTCCAAAAGCCTGATCCCAAAGCTAAGTTTTTACTTGTCTTGTGAAGGCTAGGCGGGAGGGATCTAATGTCACTGGGGAGGGAGTTCCCTAGCCAAGGGACCACCACTGAGAAGGCCCTGTATCTCGTTCCTATCAGTCGTGCTTTCAAGGAAGGCGGGACTGAGAGCAAGGCCTTCCTGGACAATCTCTGAGGTTGCTCATAGGAGGAGATACGTTTGGACAGGGGGAGATATGTTTGGACAGATAAGCTGGGCTGGAACTGTTCTGTTTTCATTTTAAAGCTGCATCAAAAGCAAAGGGCACTAGGTTGCCACGTAAAGGCTCAAGATAGTTATTATTATTATTATTATTAATTATACCCCACCACCATCTCCCCAATGGGGACTTGGGGCGGCTTACATGAGGCCAAACCCAATTAACAAATTACAACAAAATAAAACCAAAAACACATGCAACAAACAACAACATCATAATTACATAAAACATATGAATACATTAACGATATAAGATTACAATAAACACACAGTGACAATGGGCAGCTACATGTGCGAGAAAATGATTTAAAAACTGATTAAAAACATGGGTGAGATAAAAGGAGATGGTATTGTAGACTTCAGATAACTACTGGTACATACTCTTTGATATACATGCCAAGATTTCAAGTGTTCAGATTTTAAAAAACACACATTCTCTTTTATTACTAGAAAAAAAATGCCTACATTGCCTATCTACCAGTGTTTTTAAAATATTTTAAAATTTTATTCTTGAAGTGGCCCTCCCCTGTGGAATTCCTTGTGTTTGATGTTTGGTTTTATATTGCTGTGTTGTTTATTATATTGGTTTTTGCATTTTATGTTTTTGTGTAATACTGTGTTTATTGTGTTGATGGGCGTGGCCCCATGTAAGCTGCCCCGAGTCCCCCTGGGGGACATGGAGCGGGGTATAAATAAAGTATTATTATTATTATTATTATTATTATTATTATTATTAAATTGCTTAATTTTTTTCTAATAATATCTCTAAATTGCAATACTTTCCCCTCCTTATTAAAGACGTTTTCAAATCTTGAGTGATCATTGTAAGGTTCTAGGTGCCGTTTTGTGCTTAGATCTGAATGAAAGTTTATTCTAAACCAGACAGATCAAATGCAAATTTTGCTAAAGGACCTACAGTAGAGAGACAATGTTTTTTTTTTCTTCCTTTAGGAAACAGGCATACCTGAAGAAAGTCTCGTGACAGTGGTAAAGCCTGGACTTCCCACAACGGCAGATTTACATGTTCTGCTATCAGTTAATCACTTGAAAAGGAAGAGAACCATGTCTACCGATAAGGTAAGCACATTAACAAGTCTTTATTTACATTACAGTCTCCATTGACTTCTCTTATTCTTAAGCAAACAAAATGTAAAATCGTGGTTTTTGTTGTTTCTATCAATAAAAAGAACCTGTTTCTTGTACTCTCCTAAAGGTGGTGTACTTCAAATAGTCAATTTGTAGTTATCACTGTAGTCAAAGTGCTCTTTCTGTGCCATTGTGTCCCCATAATACAAAGTCAGTGGTTTTGTACCCCTCATTCTTAGCAACTGAGATAATTGACATAGGGAATAATTACTTCACCTACCCCTCCTCTGTGGTGCTGCATGTGGTGCTAGTGGTGCAGCATGAAAGGCATTCCGTTAATTAGGCTGAAGGACAAGGTATACTCTGATTTCTTTTCCACCTTTCAAGAAATCCAAAGTGCTAATCTTCAAAAGGTATAATATGAAAGGAAAGAAAAAAATGTGAGTATGGCATCAGACATTGGCACAAGCAGAGTCCTAGGCCCCTTCCACACATATAACCATATAACCCAGAATATCAAGGCAGAAAATCCCACAATATCTGCATTGAACAAGTGTATCTGAGTCCACACTGCCATATGTTCCAGTTCAAAGCAGAAAATGTGGGATTTTATTCAGCTTTGTGGAAGGGGCCCTAAAAAACTTTGTTTCATTTGTTCAGATGTTGCAAGTATTATTAGATCCTTCTATGCATTGGATCAGTAACAAAATATAAAAAAATAGCTGTCAAAAGGGCATAAAAAACTCACTTCCATTGGGCATTTATTGATTTTCAAGAAACAAATAAATAATTCATATACCCACAAGAGCAATTTCTGTGGCATAAAGCATAGCTGGAACTCTATAGCTATGCTATCTATAAGTGTTAAAATTTAGCCACTGGTTAGTCTGAATTAAATATATTATATTCTTACTGTAAATATAGCTAACGCTACTATTCTGTTCTTTTCTTCCCAGAGAATAGCTGCTATTAAGCAGTCTTTGAATGCCCATAACATCACTTTCTTCACAAGAGGAGGACAGTGGGTCTTTGTGACTTTAGATGGCTCCAATTCAGGTAAAATACACTCACCATGGCTTTGACAAACAGTAGAATCCTTTCCAAGAAAGAAAAATTCCATAAATCCAACATTGTGAGGGAAAGTTTCACACCATTAGACTGATCCAACGCACAGATGGCTCCAAGAGTAGACATGGAGAGCTTGGGAGCAACTTTTTGTCTTCTGGAGTCTATTCCCTCACCAAATATATTCTCTCTAGATTAAAAAGTTTCTACCTGTGAGACATTTGCCTTCCCAGTCGAAGATATTATTTTATTATCAAAGGCTTTTATGGCCAGAATCACTGGAGTGCTATGTGGTTTCTGGGCTTTATGGTCATGTTTGAGCAGCATTTTCTCCTGATGTTTCACCTGCATCTTTGGCATATATATACTTGAGGAATGTCCAGGGTGGGAGGAAAGAACCATTGTCTGGTAAACAAGTTTTTTTAATGTGCCAGAAGTGATTGGAGAATAAGTTGCTTCTGCAAGGATGTTACCCAGGGGATGCCCAGATCTGTTACTGTCCTGTGGGAGACTTCTCTCATGTCCCCGCACGGGAAGCTAGGTCTGACAGATGGGAGCTCACCCCTTCTCACGGATTCGAACCGCAGATTTTCAGGTGAGCAGTTCAGCCAACACAAGGATTTAACCCAGGCGTCCTCAAACTTTTTAAACAGAGGGCCAGGTCACAGTCCCTCAAACTGTTGGAGAGTTGGATTATAAATTGGAAAAAAAAGAATGAATTCCTATGCACACTGCACATATCTTATTTTAGTGCAAAAACACTTAAAAACAATACCATAATTAAAATGAACAATTTTAACAAATATAAACTTATTAGTATTTCAATGGGAAGTGTGGGCCTTCCCATTTTGACTGATGAGATAGGATTGTTGTTGTTGTTGTATGCTTTCAAGTTGTTTCAGAGTTCGGTTGACCCTGAGCGAGAGTCGGGGAAATGACCTTGGAGGGCTGTATCCAGCCCCCAGGCCTTAGTTTGAGGACCCCTGGTTTAGCCCATTGCACCACTGCATCTCCAGACTAGTGTGAAGAGTGCAATTCTCAAGCCTGGAAGTCACGTGGCCTTTGTTTCCTTTGAATTGTTTGTTGCCTATACTGTTTCCTATACTTGTTGCCTATACTGTTACTGCTGATCAGTGATCCACAGCAATAGCTGGATTTCATGCCACTCGTATTTCCCAATTGGAAAGTGTGGGGCAGAAGTCTTGTGACTGATAATTGACAGCAGGTAATATTAGAAGTACCCCTGCCTTGGCCACTTGTCCAGCTATAAAGTCATGCAGAGAGAAACTCTTCTGTTATGGAGGTTCATTGTTGATTGCTTGGGAAGGCAGGTGGTAGGACAGGAAGGAATGCTGTCATTATTTTTGATCATCAACTGGAGATTATAGAGGAATTCCTTCTGTGGTGTCCTCATAAAGAATATGAGGAGGAACTTTCTCCTTGTAGAAAAAGACATGGGATGCCATGCCTCTCTCTGCACAAAGAAAATGAAAATAGACTAGCTGGAGGAGAGGGGCAGGGGCCAGATGGTGGGCAAAGCTTGGAGTGGAGTTCTCTCTAATGTTGTTAAGCCAACAAGGCTCATCCCAAAGGTATCTGACCTTGAAAACAAAACAGTTCCCTACTCTGGTACTTTTATAATCTGTTAGTGCAAAATAAGGTTCTTCTGTTGGCAAGCAGAGCCCTCTGCAGGATTTCCCTGTTCCCTGGAACAGATTTTGAGGACATGCTAGCTGCCGTCAGAGTAGAAGGAAATCATTGTCGAATCCAGTCTAATGTTGAGAATAACAGCAGTAGTGTACATCAGTTCAGGATGCTTCGATAACAGCAATTAGGTTTATATGCAATATACAGAGATGTGAAAATGTTAGTTGCTGTGAATCTGCCTTTTCACTAAACCCCAGAATCAAAGAGCTAGACTTCGAAACTAATTTACATAGAATTAAAATTAAGTCACATACTTTGCTTAAGAAAATGTACATTTTCTATTTTTGACATATTACAAGAAAGGAAAACTATGGAAATGAAGATGAGTTCTTCCAGAAATACAAGCAGGATAAATGTACCAACTCGCACAAATTTAACTACCTTGTTAAATCTCAGGAGCCCCGGGTGGCGCAATGGGTTAAATCCTTGTGCCTGCAGGACTGTTGACTGACAGATCAGCGGTTCAAATCTGGGGGGAGCGAGTTGAGCTCCCTCTGCTAGCTCCAGCTCCCCATGTGGGGACATGAGAGAAGCCTCATTGTGCAAATCATACTGTGTTTGCAAGGAAAGAGGGAAATATGAGGCTGGAGAGAGACTGAAGATCTATGAAATAGCAAAAATTCAAACATAGTTTTTGGTGCAAATCCCAGAGCTGCCAGTGGCACAGTGGGTTAAACCCTTGTGCCAGCAAGACAAGACTGACAGGTCGTAGGTTTGAATCCGAGGAGAGCGCGGATGAGCTCCCTCTGTCAGTTCCAGCTCCCCATGCGGGGACATGAAAGAAGCCTCACACAAAGATGGTAAAACATCAAAACATCCGGGCGTCCCCTGGGCAACGTCCTTGCAGACGGCCAGTTCTCTCATGCCAGAAGTGACTTGCAGTTTCTCAAGTCTCTCCTGACATTAAAAAAACACAAAAAACAAAACTACCTTGTGAACCGCATGGTTCTGTTATTGGTAGATAAAGACCTTTCTAAAGAAATGGCGGGAAGAAGATGTGAAATGGCACAAATTGATTAATGTATCTCATTACTTATATTAAACCTTGTAGTCTGGATAGGATTTGCTTTGAATTCAAGACGGCACTCAGCTACTGGTTGCGCCCCTTATACCTATAAAATGACTACCTAAATGCAAGCAATTACCAACAATTTGCAATGAGAGTGCATTGCCTTTTACTGTAACCATCATTTTACTGTAACCAACTCAGATCAGCTCCAACTCAATTACAATAAAACTAAAATCATGGCTTTCGCTAATAGGCCCAGGACTTACTCTTGGAGCATAGATGGTCATAAAATTGAACAAGTTACATCCTTCAAATATCTAGGTGTAGTTTTCCAATCTAATGGTAGCAGAAGAGCTCATGGGGATCAAGTATCCAACACCGCGCAGGGGAGCTCAATGGCCATTCTTAAATATCTCAGGACAAGAGGGGGAGGGCACTTCACACCGGCAGCGCTCAAGCTGTTTGAAGCCAAGTCATTAGCCCAACTGGGCCCCTTCCCCAGTTTTGCCCCATTAGAGGTGGTTCAGTCCAAGTTTCTGAGATCGGCCTTGCAGGTACCTAAATGCGTTTCTAATGCCACCCTGCGACTAGAGACGGGTTTTATGAGAGTGGAGGCCAGGGTGTGGGTGGCCATACTCAACCTCTGGCTCAGACTGTCCCGTGCACCCCTTGGCCTTGCCCCACTAACCATGGAGGATGACTTCCAATCCACATGGAAGCAGGCGGTAGCATCCAAAATCTCCTCATTGGGATTTTCTCCAGGTCTACTATTAGCTATGGATTACAATCAAGCCAAAGCACTTATTAAACAACGTATCACAGACACAGAGCGCCAACTAGATCTGGCCTCGGCTCCAAGCTTCCTTATCAGTGAAGACAGGAGATACCTTGCCTCCCCTATGGAACCTCTAACATACTTAGAGGTTCCTATTCATCGAAGGGCTTTCACCCTGGCCCGATGCCACGCTCTCCCATCAGCTGTACTCGAAGGCCGCTACCGGAAGATCCCTTTCCCAGAGAGACTCTGCCCCTGTGACTCGGGTCATGTAGAAACAATAGAACATGTGCTCCTTCAGTGCCCGTTCTACAGGGATATCCATGCCAGGCTTATCTTACCTCTGATAGACAAGCACCCAGGCCATTCAGGACAATTTTATACCTCCCTGCTACTGGCAGATACTAATTCAGCTACAACATACAATGTCGCAAAGTTCTGTGCAGCAGCATACAAAATCCGCCAGGGAATGACTAGTTCCAAAAGTCAACTGTGTGTCCAGTAATCTTCTTCCCTGAATCTACAATTTGGTGATGGATCTGGGCATTGTATGTTTTTACCCTGTTCCCCCTTCTGCTCCCTCACCCATATTGTGTTTTTAGTAGTTATATTTATATTTTTAATGTACCAAACATGCCAGGTTTGTCTGGAAATGTGACACTATTTCCTGTGCTGGTCAATGACCGAAATAAATATTTTGATTTGATTTGATACTGTAACCATCAAAGCTCTTTGGGATATTTTTAATAAGTAGCCATATAATCTCTAAAGCCCTCATATTTAAAAATATTTAACTATGTATATATATGCCTTCAAATCACCTATACGGAGCCCCTGGTGGCGCAGTGGGTTAAACCCTTGTGCCGGCAGGACTGAAGACCGACAGGTCATAGGTTCGAATCCAGGGAGAGCCAGATGAGCTCCCTCTATCAGCTCCAGCTCCTCATACGGGGACATGAGAGAAGCCCCTCACAAGAATGATAAAAACATCAAATCATCCGGGCGTTCCCTGGGCAACATCCTTGCAGACGGCCAATTCTCTCACACCAGAAGCGACTTGCAGTTTCTCAAGTCGCTCCTGACACGACAAAACAAACAAACAAAAAAAACAACCTTTTGATTTATGGGGACCTCATGAATCTCATAAGGTTTCCTTAGGCAAAGAATACATAGAAGGGGTGTTGCCTGTTCCTTTTCTGAAATACGAGTATTTCGCATATTGGATGTGATATTAATGGATAGAGTCTCATCCAAATACTAATCAGGATTGGCCCTGCCTAGCTTCCAAGATCTGGTGCCTTTAGGATATTTATGCAGGTACTAATAATGTAACCCAATATAAGTGTATTTCACATAATGTATATGCTATGTAAATTAAAAAATATATGCCATATGAAGCACATGCAGTATAAACCATATACTATTAATGTATCCTAATGTCCATTGTAGCCCAAGCGGATGAGATTTGGGGACTTGATTTCAACATTTTTCAGCTAAACAAAGAAGATAATTGTACTCAAAACCAAACTTATTAGTGTGACTCCTTTATTTCAGATTCTCAGAGCATTGGAGGAGGTGGAGGGTACTGGGCAATAATGGCCCTTTTCATCATCTCTCTGGTGGCAGTAGGAGCGATCATCCTTTACAAGTTTAAAAGGCAAGTACCACATATACTCTAGTATAAGCCGACTGGAATATAAGCTGAGGCATCTAATTCTACCACAAAAAACTGGGAAAACGGATTGACTCAAGTATAAGCCAAGGATGGGAAATGCAGCAGCTACTTGTAAATTTTAAAATAAAAATAGATACCAATTCAAATACATTGAGGCATCAGTAGGTTAAATGTTTTTGAATATTTACATAACATTGTAATTTAAGATAAGATTGCCAACTCTGATTAAACCATTATTCCAACCTTCAATGTAAATGTGCTTATGTATCTTTCCACTAATAATAGAGTAAAATAATAAATGTAATAATAATAGAGTAAAATAATAGAAATGTAATAATAACAGTAATAATAGTATAAGATAATAAATGTAATAATAACAATAATAAATAAAGTAAAATAATTTAATTATAACGATAATAAAGTAAAATAATAAATTTTATAATAATAATAGAGTAAATTGATAAATGTAATAAAAAGAATTATAATAACAGAGTAAAATAATAAATAACCTTGACTCAAGTATAAGCTGAAGGGAACCTTTTCAGCCTAAAAAGAGGACTGAAACACTAGGCTTATACTGTAGTATATACAGTAATTCTGCAGGCTCGCAGGATATATACATAGAACCAACTTGGTACAGACTTTGTACACCATTATTTGGGATAAGTGGAGTGAATTCTTTTTCAATATTCAAGTATGTTTATTGCTCACAAAATAATAAACCATGTGATAAAATTGAGTGAAAAGTTCTCTCTTATCTCGCCCACTTCCTCCTCATTTCTCCTCCCAGTGTTCCCATTCTGCTTGCCCCCCTACCTCCCACTTTAGTGTATCATATGCTTGATCTGGTTGAAACTATTGGTTTGGAGCCAAAAGGTCAGTATAGGTAAACCCATGATCTCCCTTCATTTCTGTTCAGAATTAAGTTCCATTGAATTCAATGACACTTGCTCCTATGTAAGTGGTTTTATGATTACTGGCTCTATTTCTTATTCGCCCATCTTTCTTTGGAAGAGGGGAGAGTCATGGCCTGACCATTGAAGACCAACAAGGCCAAGCTATCAGAGAAACATATTTGGTCTGTTTTAACCTATGACCTGTCAGACAATCCCAGGACACTCTTGATTCTTTCTTCAGCCTTTGCTGTGGGCCTTTCACATGTGACATGTGAAACAGAAACAGCTTACACATCTGAACATATCTCTCCTTATGAACCATCTAGGAATTTAAGATCGTCTGGGAAAGCCCTGCTCTCAATACTGCATTCTTCGCAGGTGTGTCTGGTGGGGACGAGAGACAGGGCCTTATCAGTCTTGATGCACAATGGGACTGATGCACATTGCCTTGTTGCACAGCCATCCTAATACATATCCATCACTTTGCTACCTCCCTTATGTAGTAACATAACAGCAGTGGTATGGATATTATAGAACTGCTCCCACAGATGTAAATCCACTTATAAAGATGTAAGTATCTAACAGAATTCCATTCATCATTTTTTACTAACCTTTAGCATAATTTTGCTCAATGTGTATGAAGAAAGGCTTTAGCACAGCAGGTTAAAACCACCAGGTGCAGTAAATCTTGCAAACCCAAGTTTGACAATTCGAGCCCAGGGCAGGGTGAGCTTCTGGCCTTTTAGCCCAGCTTCCACCAACCTAGTGGTTCCAAAGCAAAAAAAAAAGTGAGTAGATAAATAGGTACCACCTAAAAGCAGGGGAGGTATTTTAAGGCACCCTAAAAGGAAAAATGTTAGGGATCCGACTAAAAAAGGAGGAAGTTACGAACATAAAAGTCTGTGGTCGAACCGAACACAGGCCTCCGGATGGAGAAATAAATGATATATACTTCCTTTTATGTACAGTTGTCTTGTCTGTATAAAATGGCATTGAATGTTTGCCATATATGTATGTTCTGTGATCCGCCCTAAGTCACCTTCGGGGTGAGAAGGGCAGAATATAAATACTGTAAATAAATAAATAAGTAAATAAATAAATAAATAAATAGTGGTCAACAGAAAAGAGAGAAGAGAGATTTGAAACAGTGACAAAAATAACTAAATAGGTTGCAAGGAAAGATCTCCAGCAAGCACTGTTTTAAATCTGATAATTAAAACATGGGTTTTTAAGGGCTTTGTTGTGTGATTGCACCTTTAAAACAAAAATAAAAATCTCTTTATGCCATTTTTTGTAAATCCCATGATCTACTTTAGAAAGGCAATATTTCAAGGAATGAATGAATAATGTTGATGCCAGACATGGATCAACTGATATCCAAACTCTGCTTTTGAATTGGCATGCTCAGGAGAAACCCTGGGGCTACCCAGGCAAATGCCATCTTCCTCTCTGCCGAATTTAGGCAGAGGCTGGAATGATTTTATTCTTCTTGAACATGTGGGCGGATTGCAGGTCGCTGATGCAATTCACTCTCATTAAGCAAGAGGAAAGTAATTAAAAAGCCAGATAGGAAGAGGAGTCTATTGCAGCCCCTGGAGCACTCCGCTCTCACTCAAAACTCAATGGAGGGCAAACCCGTGCTTCCCGGGATCCTTCAGTGGTTCCCAGATGCTTTGCTTTGTGAAAAACGCCACCACTGGCAATGGTGTTCAATTGACTTTATTATAGTCACAAATCATACTAAATTGAGTTACTAAAGATCTGTTGTTTTTGATAATAAATAACAGGAAGTCAAGGTTGTACCAAAGCTACACTGGCTAACATAAATTCACTATAAAGTTTCTTGCCAACAAGGCTTTTATTATGCAGTTTCCCTTTCACATTCACAGCATTTCCAGGGAGTCCATATTTTGTCGTCTTCCATTTATAACCATCCAGCGTTTTTCTGACTTTTCTTCCATATTTTTTTCTTTCCATGATAAATTAAACAAAATGAAATAGCTCTAGAGGACCTTTTGATGAAGCACCATATGCGAAGGCATAACAGCTCTGAAAATCCAAATGGAAATGTGCTAAAAATTTATTTATCTTAATTAGTTTATATCACAGCCATTGCACTGCCAAATTTAAGATTACTTTAATTGATTTCACCTCCTGTTAATGTTAATGACCCTCATGCTTGCTGGATTTCCTTCCTACTTGTCTGCTAAAATAATATACATCTCTGGGTTAAAAAAAACAATCTGATGTTGATTTGACCCAGACCCCTTCTAGACTGCCGTATAATCCAGATTATCAAAGCAGATAATCCGTTATATCAGTCTACACTGCCATATAATCCAGTTTGAAGCAGATCATCTGGATTTTATATGGCAGTCTAGAAGGGCCTCGGTGCTTTTCACTCAAAAAATTTGCGTAGCATGAAACATGCCTGGTCTGTACTTTCAATAGCAATTAAAACTGATTATTCAACTTAATATGTTAGTTTAAACCAGGTTCCTCAAACTAATTCCCGGGGGCCGGATGCAGCCCTCCAAGGTCATTTATCCGGCCCTCACTCAGGGTCAGCCTAAGTCTATAACAACTCAAAAGCAAACAACAACAACAACAACAATCCTATCTCATCAGCCAAAAGCAAGCCCACACTTCCCATTGAAATACTAATAAATTTATATTTGTTAAGATTGTTCTTCATTTTAATTATTGTTTTTAATTTTTGCACTACAAATAAGATATGTGCAGTGTGCATAGGAATTCATTCATGTTTGTTTGTTTTTTCAAATTATAATCCAGCTCTCCGACAGTATGTGGGACTATGACCTGGCCCTCTGTTTAAAAAGTTTGAGGACCCCTGGTTTAAACTCTTCTAGAGGTTGTTTTTGCATCAGAAATGTACATCAGATTCAAGTTACAGCTCTCATAGGCTATAGCGTCCTTTGCTTTCTTATAATATGACTTTTTTTTAAAAAAAAAACTCAATTCAGCATCAGGAGCACCATCAAAGAAGTAATAGTGATGTGTTGGTAAATTGCCATGTTTCCAAGGAGAATCCAATATAAGCAGCTAAAATGCGTTTCTATATATGCATTGCTCACTCCTTCAAAATAATCCTATTTATGAAGCTCTGGGTCTATGGAAACAATCTCTATTGAACACAGTGGGTGGCTTACTCCTGAACAGCTTAAATTTTGACCGGTAAAATGCATTGAGCAAAGAAAGAACAAAACAAATAAAAACGTTAGAGAGAAAAAGAAAAGCACCTCTGCTGGCTGAAATAAAATTTGATGCTCAGTTCATGTTAAATTGAATTGCCTTTTAATTAAAAATATAAGCAACTGTATAAAGTATTATTACCATTTAAGCTGCCAGGATGAAATATGAATTCCATCTGTGAAAAAAAAAGATATAGGTCGTGGGTTGTTGTAGGTTTTTCGGGTATATGGCCATGTTCTAGAAGCATTCTCTCCTGACGTTTTGCCTGCATCTATGGCAGGCAACCTCAGAGGTTGTGAGGTCTGAGGATGCTTGCCATAGATGCAGATGAAATGTCAGGAGAGAATGCTTCTAGAACATGGTCATACATCACGAAAAACCTACAACAACCCAGTGATTCCGGTCGTGAAAGCCTTCGACAAGATATTGGATGTCTTCTCGAGCCATGTGTCGATACATGCAGTAGACGTGTGCGAAATCTGTTCCTAAAGTTTCTACCATTTCTTTTGTGTCTTCCATTTCTTTGGAAGCACAAAACAGGAAGCCCCCTCCCCACATGAATATCTGCTTGACACAAAAGCCTGCTTTCATGTGCATCCAAACTTGCCTTCTTGCCTTGGAAAGAGAGTGCATGTGTGGCAAGGCGTGCAGGCAGGCATATCCGGAGCTTGGCTACAGGTGTGCTCAGGGCCTGCCTGCATGCCCCTATACACATGCACTCTCGGGGAGTGTGATTGCAGTGTGTGTGGCGGGGCATGCATGCATGCAGGCATGGAGCACACCTGCAGCGGTGAGCCTCTTACTCTAGAGCAGAAACAGCAAGTGCCAGGTAAGAAGAACACACACAGGGAAGGGGAGCCAGTGCGTGGTACCCCCGCCCACATAATGGGCCAGTTTTTGCCCCCTCCCAAAAAAGAACTGAAAACAACCCTCCCTATTTCAGGAGCCTTCCAAAAAATGGACCCCCCCCCCCCCCCCCCCGAATGAAAGCCGGGACATGAAACGGGACAAAAGTTTCCCTCGAATACATATGCCTAACATGCAGCAATACTGGTTTTGAGTTGGAAAGGTCCAACCCTTTCAGTATCCAAAAATGTTTCCAGCCACATGGAGATATGTATCCACACAACCTGTGTGCTTTTGCTTTTGAAGAATCAGTATAAAACACTACATATTCATATTCCGTCTTGTTGTCTTAAGGAAATTGCCAGGCCGAAATGTCTATGCCCAGATGCAAAATGAAAAGGAGCAGGAGATGACCAGTCCAGTAAACCACAGGGAAAACACCCAAAACATCATCCAAGGGGAAGAGTTCATTGATGATGACCTTGACTGTCAAACCCTAGGAAATGCAAGAGGTAAGTACCCATTCAGTCTTGTCACTGATGTTTCTGGGGACTGATCCCAGGCTAAAAAACAATAGCAGTGGCATCAAATGCTATAGTATTATAACAGCCACTAGTTAACTTGCTCTTTTGTCAGACCATTGCCACAAATGTTCGAGAAGAAAAGAAGGAAGATTGTAGCAGTTATGAGAATTAACATAAATTTCAATAATATGCTTAAAAAATGCAATATATGTCAGTGACCAGATTTTTTTAAAATAGAAAAAAAACATTATCGGACCATTTCTTTGGCTTTGTTTCATTACTGTTAAGAAATGCATAGCCAATGTTTGTACGGAAGTACAAAGAAATATTTTTTATTGTGCTGAGTTAGTTGTAGGTCTGTTACTGAATTCTAGCACAAACATCCTCGATTTTTGAATTGTGTATCAGCTAAATGAAAAGTACTTTAAGGAAGTATTAAATCAGTGTGGTGTGTAATGCTGTGTAATATTTGTGAATTATACTGCTTTTTATTTTTTTTCTTATGATCAGTTACATGGTTGCAAAGTGACTTTATCAGCTCGATCTTTTGTCTTTCCTTGGGAATTGGAGTTAGCCCTGTCATTTAGGTACCGTATATACTCGAGTATAAGTCGACCTGAATATAAGCCGAAGCACCCAATTTTACCACAAAAAACTGGGGAAATGGATTGACTCGAATATAAGCCAAGGATGTGAAATGCCGCATTTACTGATCAATTTCAAAATAAAAATAGATACCAATAAAATTACATTAATTGAGGCATCAGTTGGTTAAATGTTTTTGAATATTTACTTAAAACTGTAATTCAACATAAGACTGTCCAACTCTGATTCAACCATTATACTAACCTTCTTCAATGTAAATATGTTTACGTATCTTTCCTATAATAATAGAGTAAAATAATAATAATAGTAATAATAATAAAGTAAAATAATAAATGTAATAATAGCAATAATATAGTAAAATAATAAATGTAAAAATAACTAATAAATAGAGTAAAATAATAAATGTAATAACAACAATAATAAAGTAAAACAACAACAACAATAACAACAACAACAACAACAACAACAAAGTAAAATAATAAATAACCTTGACTCGAGTATAAGTCAGGGGAGACTTTTTCAGCCTAAAAAAAGGACTGAAAAACTAGGCTTATACTCGAGTATATACAGTAATCCGTGTAGGAAGAAGGGCAGACAGGACATAGACTGCTGTGGGCCAGGCAGTCACATCAAGCTGTGAAAAGCCTTGGGCCAGTCCTGGGCAGAACTGAACACTAGAGGGAGTGAGGAGGCCATGATAAAATGCCTTGGCCATAGTCTTTTGTGTTCTCAACTGTGTGGAATGGGTCCTGCTGAATGCAGTGGGACTAATATCTGAATAGGCATTAAGAGCATTGTGCTGGAAACATCCAAAACATGAGTTTGAAGTTCTTTCAAAATGTTAATCCAGGCAGTGTGCAGGATTTAGTGGGATGGAATATACTTGGACCACAAGCCATATGTATTTCAAACAAAAGTATAAAGTGAGATAGCACGGAGGTTTCCAGCCTCCAAACAATCTTGAAAAACAGTCTGATGTCCACTATAACTTCAAGGAAATTTGTGATCCTCCAGATGTTGTTTGCTTTCATTATGCCCCACCATTGGCTATGCTGGCTAAGGTTTAAAGGAGTCGCAGTCAGATAATATCTGCAGAGCCATATCATCTTTGTGTTGCTGTAAGTTTTCTGGGCTGCATGGCCATGTTCTAGAAGCATTCTCTCCTGGAGTTTCACCTACATCTATGGCAGGCATCCTCACAACCTCTGAGGATGCCTGCCATAGATGTGGGTGACATGTCAAGAGAGAATGCTTCTGGAACATGGCCATGCAGCCCAGAAAACTCAAAGCAACCCATATCTTCTTTATCCTGCTCTAAGGTTCTTCTGTTATTTAGTACCACTTGTTTTGTTTCCTGATTTAGTGCCTCAGGGCTTAACCCCCTTGGGTGGGGCACATCTGCGCTGACACTTAGTCAATTTTATTTATTTATTTATTTATTTACTACATTTCTATACCGCTTTTCTCACCCCTGGGGGGACTCAAAGCAGTTTACAACATAATAAATGGCAAATTCAATGCCTCACATATATATAAAAATAACACATATCTAAATCAATAACATATAACTGTAGATAAAAACCGTTAAAACTATAAAAACATCAAACATAGACATAAGCATCGTAGTTGTTAGAGTGGTCCAGCATTTCTGTGTTCTCAAATAATATGCTGTGTCCAGGTTGGTCATCAGGTGCTCTGCTATGGCTGAATTAGTCTGCAGTGCCTTTCATGTTCCTTGATTCGTGTTTGGGCAATGTAGTCTTGTCCACAGTCACATGGTATATGGTAGATACCATGCCCCTTTGTATCTTTTTACTAAATATTAATGGTTGCCAAATGCATGCATTCCAGATATCCTTCCATGTCTTTAGGATTGTAAGCTTTGCCCCTTGAATGGGACCACTTTCTTTCTGGAGTGAGTGGAGGAGTGTGAGGCTTTGCCAACTCATTTAAAATAGTGATGAGAAGGGAAAGCATAACCTGGGGGAAGCATACTCAATATATTTTGCCACTATGGACTGTTTGCCTTCAGATGTCTAGAGGGTTAATGCAGAAATTTTGTAATGGTTCATGGTGGCAGTCTTGTCTACAGTCTGTTTAAAAGATCAGTAATTCATCATATTTTGAATGAGATTGCTGGCTTTCCTCATATTCTTGGGCAGGATCTGAGCTACCAAGTGATCCATTTGGTCTTGGCTGGACTTTCCATTCAATAGGGGTGGAAGAACAGAGTGTGGCAATTGTAAATACAGATAATTAACAGAAGGTGTTCAATAGTTGTCATAAAATTTGATCTTTAGAGTATCTTTTTCTATCTAACATTGCTAAATTAGTACTGATTTTTTTTGTTTTGGACTGTCACTTCCATCAGCTCACACCATCATCTCAGTGGCCCAAGTTAATGTAGTCTACTAACATCTAGAGAGCTAGACTTCCATCACACCTGCCATAATCCATCTTGCATGTTTAGAAAACACATATGCTTTCCATTGGCCTGGAAACAGGCGAGAAGCTATTTTAGATCTGGAACAAAGATGATGACAGGAAAGAATTGCATGATTGTCATTCATGTTTTATGGCTGCAGAAAAATAATAAAGTTAGTCCCCATTGATTTTGTGTCAGGTAGTTTATTTAGTTACATTCTTTTCATCCTCCCTCCTGATTTTGACATTGTGATGTTAATATTAGTCTAGTGCATTTCAGCTGAACCTCTATCCATTTCTGCTGGCCAGATTCCGCTAGACCCTGTATCTGTTTTCGTGTGCCTCCCGAAAGTGGGTGGGTAGCCAGATAGTCGTTTTTGGCCTGTAGCTGGAAAATGCAGCTAGATCCGGCCCATTGGCAGCAATGAGGAACTTACAAAGCTCCCCTTTCCATTCCTGGGACCCTTTCCCCCTTTTTCCCCTTCAAGAGAGCCTGGGTTAAGGAAGCAGACACAGCTTGTGTAAGACATCAAAGCATTCTTCAATTTCGATTGGCCCAACAGGCAAGGCTCACAGGGAAACCCCGTGCAAGCAGCACGCCACAGCCCATTTGCGCACCTAGTGATGCCAAATGGAGAGGAAGAGCCATGATTGGCTGCCACGTGGTCCCATTACCGACAGAAAAAGTGATAGCTGGACCTTTGCCTTTACAACCATCCGATCAAGCTGGATTGGCTAAAGGGAACTGGCCACTCTGAATCCGTGCACAAGCCTAGTTAATATGTATGCGATACTACTCCACATTTCCTCCTTGCCTTCCCTGATATCTGTGCATCTTCTTCCAAAGTCTCCCTCATTTACTCATTCATACCACGACATGTTGAGTATTTCTTATTTGAAATGCATGGGACTAGAGGTGCCTTGGATTTTGGAATTGTTTTGGATTTTTAAATACCTGTATGCATAATGATATATACTGGAGGTGGGACCCAACTCTTGGTGCAGAATTCATTTATAATTCACATACATCTTGTATGCATAGTCTAAATGTAATTCTGTACAATATTTTAATGATGTTGTGTATGAAATGAAGTTTGCGTAGATTGACCCCTCAACCACTCATGTGGACCATTTTGGAATTTCAAATAACGGATGTTCAACCTGTACTGTATTTTCATTGTATAACCTAAGAATCACTGAAACCTGTACTAAAAATAGGAATACTGTATCCAGAAGGATATTCTTGCTTATTCTGTTTTCAGCTGGGAACACACTTTGTAAAGAACCGTAGCTGCCTTTCCCTTCAGCCTAGGCCTTCCCTGGCCACTGCCCATTGACAAAGCACTTAAACACAATTATCCTGTCCCTTTGATAGTTGTGTTAAGTATTCTATTGGAAACTTCCATGGAAGATATCAATTACACCTTCATGGGGAAACAGAGCTTGTATCTGGATTAGAGCTACGCATTCTCATTAAAACTATTAAAATAATAGAACTGTTGGGATAATTAAAACTTTCAGCAGAAAATACATATAGGATGGTAAGTCAGCAGAGTGTGGTGGTGTGAACATTGGACTAGAACTTTTGTGAAACCTGGGTTTAGTCTCCATGAAAACCCACTGGCAAACTTGCTCAGAACAAATTACTGAAAAACCCCTGTGATGGTGTTATCCTAGGATCACCATAATTCAGACACAATCTCAAGACACATAGTTAACTACACAGATAGAAACATCTGGTGCATAGAGATCTAGAGCAGTGTTTCTCAAACAGGGGGATGGGACTCCTGGGGGGGGGGTTACAAGGAGGTGTCAGAGGCGTTGCCAAAGACCATCAGAAAACACAGTATTTTCTGTTGATCATGGGGATTTTGTGTGAGAAGTTTTTGCCCAATTCTATTGTTGGTGGGGTTCAGAATGCTCTTTGATTGTAGGTGAACTATAAATCCCAGCAACTACAAATTCCAAATGTCAAGGTCTATTTCCCCCAAACTCCACCAGTGTTCACATTTGGGCATATTGAGTATTTGTGCCAAGTTTGGTTCGGATCCATCATTGTTTGAGTCCACAGTGGATGTAGGTGAACTATAACTTCAAAACTCAAGGTCAATGCCCACCAAACCCTTCCAGTATTTTCTGTCGATCATGGGAGTTCTGTGTGCCAAGTTTAGTTCAATTCCATTGTTGGTGGAGTTCAGAATGCTCTTTTAGTGTAAGTTAACTATAAATCCATTCAACTACAACTCCCAAATGACAAAATTAATCCCCCCAACCCCACCAGTCTTCAAATTTGTATCAGGTACTTGTACCAAATTTGGTCCAGTGAATGAAAATACATCCTGCATATCAGATTTTTACATTATGATTCATAACAGTAGCAAAATTACAGTTATGAAGTAGCAACAAAAATAATTTTATCATTGTGGGGTCACCACAACATGAGGAACTGTATTAAGGGGTTGAAGCATTAGGAAGGTTGAGAAACGCTGATCTAGAGGGAATGGAATGATACATTGATTTTCAGAGTAATGCTCCCCCCTGCTGTTTGACTTGTCATTAGAACAAATAAAAAATACCAGATTAATCAGATATTTCTGAAAACGTATAGGATGCCGTCCTTCTTCCTTTTTCATTTCTGAATCTCCTTCATTCTTCATTCATTGTATCCCAAGATAAAAGCGGGCTGTTGCATCGGCAAGACTTTCTTATGATATACCTAAGAGCTTACAAATATGAATGCAGAGTCCTTCACTGAAAGAGGAACCGTTACGATATATGGTGCTCAATGGCCTCATGATGTTTTGGATCGATGGCAGTGATCAGACCATGCTTTGGAAGCAGACAGAAGTATTGGTATTTGTAGCTAGGTCAGGGCCAAGGTAGAAATTAGGTGGAAATTTCTATTAAGTTCAAAAGGCCTCTGTACATATGGGAATTCTCATTGAGTGCTATCATGTTCTCACCAGGGAAAGTATTTCATCCTCTTCTCTGTTTACAGCATGGAATGAAACAAAACCCAGTTTTCTGCTCTCTCTTCTCATAATTTTGGAAATTTTTACAGTGACATATACCTAGACTCACCCATTCACTTCTTTTGTGTTTATATATTTTATGTTGCCTACTTTATCGCCACCCCCAACTTGGGACTCCTCCACACCATTACCTTGCAGTGACTCCTTCTGGGAGAGGTGGAAACTTGAACAGCTACAGAGTTCCCTTATTGCTGATGGCAGTCAGTGTCCAGTCCCAGGTCAGTGTCGTCTTGAAAGGAAACCCGTGGTTCCATTTTTTCCTTTCATCTGCTCCCCTCAAAGCACGTTAGGGTGTCACTTTGCTCAGAACTGTAGGGATTCACCAATTCATCAAAAACCAACACGCGCAGCACTGCAACACAGACCTGCTCCTCCACTCTCACTTGGCGTGATTTGATGAGGCCACCATCTCACTTGGCGGAACTATTCCCAAAATAAGATGGGAGGGGTTGATGTGGAAATCCTGTAATTTGCTAATCGTGGTGCTTTGTTTTTCTTTTTCCGTAGGCAATCTCTCAGGCGTGGTTCTGAGCATTAATTCCAGGGAGATGCACAGTTACCTGATTAGCTGATATTCCCAACCGAATTCATAGACAAGACTCTTCCACTGTTGGATTCCTCCTTTCCCCCTCGGAAGACCTAACTAACCGCGGGAAGGAGATTCTTACATTGTCTTGACGTTAGGTACAGCCATGTGTTGCTTGGAGAGAAAGTTAATACACTTGGTGTTCATGGCTATTGACTTTTGTTTTTTACACCTCAAACTAAAATAGCAGATCTGTAGTCCTAGGCACACTTGCAACTACTTTTCTATCTCATGTGTCCTTTTCTTTCTGTATGTCCATTGAATCAAATGCATACAGCACTGTGGCAGTATCAAGTAGAAAGCTGTAATTCTTGAGCCATGAAGACTGGCTAGCAAAGCAGTTGGCAAGGTGAAGTAGAGACCTAGTGGAAGGCTGGGAATGGTTTCCGATTTGAAGGAGTGATTCGTGGATCCTGATGTGGCACAACTGAAGAATTCTGAGGAGATGCTGCCAAGAGAGACACTGGATCCTCCCTAGCATGCCTCCCTCGGACGCAGTGGAAGCCTGGGCACAACATCAATATGAGAAACATGTCTGAATGCTTCTTGTACTATTCACCTTGCTACCAAGAAGCTCCCTGCCTTGTTTTGCTCCCAGACTAGGTTCCCTCCTTACAAAACACCATCTATCCTGCTGGAAGAGGGTCCCACTAGGCCAACTAGTAGTTTGCAACCCACATAATTACATTGTATTCAGCTTGGGCTGCCTTACCTTGTTTTGGTCTCCAGAACAGCAAGTGTAATTACTTTATTTTTACATTTCTGTAACTGTTTTTGGTATCTTTTTAAACTTTCTATTTTTATAGCTATACAAACATTCCTATCTCAGGATAGTGCTCTCGGAGCAGCATATTTGGAACACGCTGTTTTATTATTTCCCCTGTTTCTACTGTGGAGCTGAAGAAACTGAAAATATCACTGCCTTGGATGTGTTTGACAATCTGGTGAATTAAATTTCAGAAATAATTCCATTTAAGCGATTGCACTTTCTCAGTTTAAACCCCTCGGTACCGGGCCTCATTCCTCAGAGTGGAGCCGAAGAGGACAATTGTCTTTGTGTTAGAGTTGCTGTTATTTGGGAGCTGTGCAAGTTTAGTTTTGTGGTTGCTTATCCTACCCCTAGTAGAGACAAAAATGGCACAGCTGCAGCCGGAAGAGTGACATTTGCTCTGAGCGTCATGTGTAGGAATTACAAAGCTACTTGGAATAGTGTACTGAACATATTTCTAATAATCTCACCATCTGGAAAGAACTACCAGAGTGACCCCACTCCTCTTTAGCAGAGGTTTCTGAATGCCAGTGAACAACCAAGCATTAAATAAGAGGAAATTGTACTACTGGATGGCAACATTTCCAAGATGCCAATGCATTCCTTCTGCTGAAAGCACATCCCATTTTGTCTTCATGTATATTGTCCTCCTCCAAGCACTAAGGCAAATCCTGCAGAACTATGTCAAGCACAATGCATTCAGGAACTGACCGTCCAAGTGGATGAGAATACTGCTGGGAATCAATGGCAAGTCTTGTTTGCCACCCGCCTCAGGATCTCTGTTTGTCTTTGTCTGTGAGCAAATTGAATTGCCCTGCATATTCGCTGATAGAAGAGTGACATCTCCTTGCTGCCTTACCTGTACACAAGATAAGAACGGTGGCTGAGGGAATACGGTACTAAAGCGCCTCAAGGAAAAAAAGAGGGAGTCCCCTGAAACAATTTTTGTGCTTTGGAATCCCTGGCATGTTTGAACAAAGGGATTAAACTCCTTAGTTTGCTCTTCATGCCACTGATGGCAAGGAAAACATCAAAAACACCACAGAAGTAGGAGGAAACCAGTCCTGTAGACTGGAGAGCAATTTTATACACCCAACAAAAAAGGTAGGCGACTGAGGGTCTAGGGCCCACATCTGTAGACAGATAAGTTTTACAACTCTAACAGAAAGGAATCTTTAGGTTGTTGTAGTTTTTTTTCGGGCTATATGTCCATGTTCTAGAGGCATTCTCTCCTGACGTTTTGCCTGCATCTATGGCAAGCATCTCAGAGGTAGTGAGGTCTGTTGGAACTAGGAAAAAGGGTTTATATATCTGTGGAAAGGCCAGGGTGGGACAAAGGACTCTTGTCTGCTGGAGCTAGGTGTGAATGTTTCAACTGACCACCTTGATTAGCATTTGATGGCCTGGAGGTGGCCTGGGGCAATTTTTTGTTGAGAGGTGATTATATGTCCCAGATTGTTTCCTCTCTGTTGTTTTGCTGTTGTAATTTTAGAGTTTTTTTAAATACTGGTAGCCAGATTTTGTTCATTTTCATGGTTTCCTCCTTTCTGTTGAAATTGTCCACATGCTTGTGGATTTCAAAGGAATCTTGTTTGCACTTTGAGAGAGCTAGCTTAATAGGGAACTCTTTACCAAGTGCTAATCAATCAGCTGGCTTCCAGTTTAATTAGTTAATTCTGGAATTTTAGCTTGCTGAAATAGAACATCTTGATTCTATAGAATAGAAATTCACAACCCCTGAAAATCACAATATGGAGATCTTAAAGGGGAAGTACCTTCTGGTGGTGTGAATATGAGAGGTGGGGTTGCCCCCATAGAGGCCCACATAAATGAAAAAGTTGCCCCAAACCACAGTAAAAAAACAAAACTCAAAGCTTTTCCCAGCCTTCAGCTTGTTTGACTGCATCTTCTCTCTTTGTATTTGCAAGTGAAGGTTCGTGCCCTTAGTCGAGACAAAGGCAAGGGAGTTAGTTGCTCTTGCCCCTGGGTCTTTCCCGTTTGCCAGAAAACCTGGCATATCTAGTCAATCACTTTATCTTTGTTTGAACTTGTGGTGTGATGAGGCATTTCAGGTGCCCTGACATTTCAGATCAGTCTTCAACAGCCTGGTACCTTCAAGATATGTTGGGCTACAACAGTGGTTCCCAACTTGTAGTCCACAGACCACCAGAACTAAAATATGGTCCACAGCCTCACCTCCTGGGGTTATTTAAGGTGCTGATTCAGAAAATTACACTAGATAGACCACATCAGCTCTATATTATTAAATATGGTTTTCTGTGGATAAGCAGATGGCAACTACTGTATGGCATATATTCTGTATCAGAAACTAGAGCTGATGTAATCTATCCAAAGCAATTTTCTGAATCAGGCCCCTAAATAACCAAACTGAATCTAAAAGTTGACCAAAAACTGGTTTGTTACCCTTTTGGTACTAATGTTGGAGAGTGGTCCCTGATCAAAGTGGCCCCTGGTCAAACAAAGGTTGGGAACCACTGGGCGACAACAACCATCACTACCAGTCACTAGAACTGTTAGGCTATGCCTGATGGGGTTGATGGAGGTTGTAGTTCGATACTTGTGAAAAACATCAGACTGGGAAAGGCTAAGGTTTGTGTAGCGTACAGGAGTTCACAAATCCAAGGGTTTCTCAATGTAAACTGATGAAAAAGGCACCTTGTCTCAGGTGTGCAGGGAGGGTTCATGGATCAATTGTACCTTTGTTAAAATTTTTGCAGACCTGTGTGTATTTCTCCTAAATTAGCAGATCAAAAGCCTTGTGACAAGAGAATGATAACTAGATGATACAATTGCTGAACTTACCATCTGGTACAAAGTGAGGATTAATTGCTTAAATTTGTCTCAGTTTGAATAGGAGACTCAAAAATGTTATTCCGTCCTCTTAAATTACATCGGTGTGCTTCTGCCCTATGACTTAGATGAAGGTAGTTTAGGAGAGGGAAAGGAATATGTAGCAGAGATGGGCCACAGTTGGAGACCTTGTTCAGAGTACTAGTCAATATGTACTAGCTAAAAAAATTAAAACGGAAGGAGGGGGCTTCCAGTGCCATGGTAAAAACATTACACAAGCAAGCAAACAAACTCTAGCAACTCCAAAAGTATCTCAGTGGCCACTTCTGTCAGATTTATGTATTTATTTATCCTATCAGGAGCAAACCAAACAGTTATATTGTATTAAAAAGAACACGCACACACACAGTTTGAAAACTTAGCATTCTATGAAATGTCCTTTGACCAGTAGCTGGCCACTTGGAATGCATCTGGTGTTGCTGTGAGAAGGTCCTCCATTCTGTATGTGGCAGGGCTCAGGCTGCATTGCAGTAGGTGATCTGTGGTTTGCTGTTCTTCACACTCACATGTCGTGGTCTCCACTTTGTAGCCCATTTCTTAAGGTTGGCTCTTAACTCGTGGTGCCAGAATGCAGTCTGTTCAGCGCCTTCCAAATCACCCAGTTTTTTGTGTGCCCAGGAGGGAATCTCTCATTTAGTATCAGGTTCTGGGTTTGAGCCTGCCACTTTTGGACTCTTGCTTGCTGAGGTGATCCAGTGAGTGTCTCTGTAGATCTTAGAAAACTATTTACTATTAGTGTCCCTCCTGCTCAGGTCCAATCACAGCTGATCCCAGAAGTGTAGGACACACAAGTTGTGGTTCCACATCAGTCCTGGATGATGTAGGATAGAAATGACCAAGCATTCAACTCTGTAAAGATAAATGTCAGGTGAACCTAATAATGTCATTGCTTCCAGACTTGTGAACTTGAAGCTATGCTGGCCTCAGATTCCTGGATTTAGGGACTCAATCATGATGCATGTGACTTCTTTTGGCCCCAGTTGGCAACTGACCGTTCTGACGGCACTTTATAATTTATCCTGTTCAGATGCTATTTAATTTAATAGCCACCTGACTGTTAGATCTGGCAGTTGTAAAGTGTTGCTGTTCATGCCTGGCAGGGAAATGACAAGTGGGAAGTGATTTATAATTTTCACCTCTATCCCAATGCAAGCCAAGCTTTACATAGCATTTGATATTTCTGTCCTTCTATCCTGTGGTATTGTGTTTCCATCTTTAAAATAATAATAATAATAATAATAATAATAATAATAATAATAATAATAATAAGTCCCTCTTAAGGAATCCATCTAGCACTGCTTACCAAAAGAAAGAAAAAACACAAGAGAGGCCCTGCTAGTTGCTTCATGTTTATGGAATTCTTTTCCCCTGGAGTTTTTCCAGAAAGCAGCCCTAAGCATATTTAGAAAACTCTGAGCATTCCAGCAAAAATTAGGTGTGTCTAAATGGAGACTTAACATGTTTTGTTGTGCATATCCATTCCATTGTTCCCAAGTGGGACTTGGGCACACCTAGCTTTCTTTGGATTGCATCCATTGTATATATACACTTCGGGCTTTGGCAAGCAGCAAATGTGAGATATGGGTGTATCTTGATGGAGTAAGTTATATTTTGTTAAATCTTGTTCTCCAATCTTTGTGGAGTTAGGTCAGCACTGTGTAAGAGAAATGTTTCCAAAAAAAAGTTATATAAAAATGGTGATTAGAATGGCTTGGATTTTCTTAACCTGATTTGATGTGGTGCCGAACTTCAGGTGTTTTGGACTTCAGATCCCATAATTCCTTGCTATTGGACAAGCTGGCTAGGGCTTCTGGGAGTTGGAGTCTGAAACATTTGGAGGACCACAAGTACTTACTTAGGTGATACCTTGTAGCTCAAGGATGATGGTCTTCCAGATGTGGTGTCTTGACAGTGGGTCTGTAAAGTGGCTGTGGAGCCCTATTTTTGATCTACATGTTCTCCCACATTGGGGACATCGGTTTCCAGATGGAAAGTGGTCCCAGTCAGGGTTGGCTTCACATGCCTTCCTCTTGGCATGTTTCCTCCTTTCGCCCTCCATTCCTGCCTCTTTGAATTCCACAGCATTGCTGGTCACAGCTGACCTACAGTTAGAGCGCTCAAGGGCAGGGCTTTCCAGTCCTTGGTGTCTGTGCTACAGTTTTAAAGTTTTTAATGTTGAGGAATCACAAGTATGACATCTCAATTCTAAAGTGATTCTTCTTCCATTGTACTTTCCAAATGTCGCAGGTTTTCAGGGACAAGCCCACTTAATCTTCTGTCACCCTACTTTAAAATGTCCCAGTTTCTCCCTTTGCCCATTTTCCAATTTGTCATTTACTTACTTCACTTGCTGCAAACTGAGTTCAAAGTGCAGAAGTAGATTGTGCACACTTCACTCAGTTATGGGGAGAGGAGGGAGTAGACTCCTTCTTTTGATCACATGCTGATGTTGCTTTACCACAGATGTCTCAATTTGCATTTGTGAAATATTGGAGGGTATGAACCACATGGCACCTATTCCCAAAGCTGCATGGAAAGGATTTGACAGCTTTCCCTTTGATAAGAGTGTTTGGTATTTTAAAAAAATCCTAGCCAGCTGCCAGAACTTTCCATTTAGTTTTTGTAAGCTGGTCTTTTATCATCAATGTTTTCTATGTTTACAAGTACCTTTTGCTATAGCCCAACTCTTCCTCAAGAGTTAGGATAAGACTTTAAAGCCATAGTAATTCCTTTAAAACACTCTTCCAGTGTATCCAAAAGATACAAGATATTAAGGCTTGAACTGCGGTGAGTCTTCAGAACTGGGAGCTCTGCAGCTGAGCAAAGGGACAGCAACTGAGAATGTGCCTCTGGGTTGTTTGAAGATAGAGCTTAAAGGCACTTCCTTTACTGATCACAGTTGGAGGTCATTGTCAATGAGTTGTTGGGCCTAAGCTATTTATAAATTCAAACCACGCTTTAAATTTGACAAGAGAGCAGGGCAACGAGAGAGCAAGTCAGAGCTAGTATGTTACAGTGGTTTGAATGTTGGACTGTAACTCTGGAGACTACTTTGATTCCCCACTTGCCATGAAAACCTACTAGAAGATCTTGGGTATGTCATACTGTATTTCACCGCATAATAGTCGCACCCCCTACATTGGGAAGTGGGGGGAGTTTCCAACTATTTTGTGGTAGTGACTCGTATGCAGTGAAACAATATCACTTTGAGGGGCGTATTTTGCAGTGTAATACTCCCTATTAGGGCCTATCCACACCCTCACACGGGGAAAGCAACTGAGTTGTCATCCATCTGTG